TCGCGGCTGACAGCTAGTCATCTATATTATTACTTGAAGCGAAATTACTTTACCTTTTTCTCAGAAATAAAAATAGTATTTTACTAGCTTTGGTCCGCGACTTCGTTAATGAGAATTTTAAAAATCTAGTAATAAATATAGGCTATTCTCAGTGTTATGATAGCTCGTACATAATTGCGTAACTGATAAAGCACCAATATCTATAATTTTTGTCTGTACGTCTGTCCTTGTGCGTTTGTTTCTGGTAATCTCGGGAATAACTGGACCAATTTGACGGAACTTTGAATATAGTTGACGCTCGCATATTATCGGCTACGTATTTTCTGCGTCTTAAGTGCATCGGTGACTGAGGGGTCTAGTTCGACTTGCATTCGCAGGTACTGAGTTCGAATCCCGCCATGTACCAATGTGTTTTTCGATTTCCGATTTACATAAGTACATTTATCCGACCTTACGATGAAGGAAAACATCGTGATGCTGCACATATCTGAGAAATTTAAAGATATGTGTGAAGTCAACCCGCACTTGGTCAGCGTGGTTGACTATGACCTAATCACCCTTAACTTAGGGTAGGCTCCGAGCTCCTCGGTGGGGACGTATAGTGAGCTGAGGATGATTCTGCGCCAACGAAGTCGCGGGCGACAGCTAGTATGGTACAAATCTTTCCTCTTTATAAATGTAGATGCTATTGTGTAGTATAAAGCTACCACGTGTAATAAGTACTTGCAAGAAAACTTGTCGGCCTTCTACAGTCAATAGGGTAACCATCTTTTTAAATTAACAGGATAAAGATAGGTCAGCGGTATTAATAAAAATTTTCGGGTTTCAACGTGTGTAGTTAGTTAATACATAAGAAACTAAATAAAAATAACGAAAACAATTGCTTATAATTTCTGTTTTTTTTTTTTAAAGAATGATTATAATATTTATAATTAAACTAACTGTCGCCCGCGACTCCGTCCGCGTTAAAACAACTTAATTAGTAGTCTATGTGTTCTTCCAGACTATATTTTATGTGTATGTCAAATTTTATCAAGATCCATGCAGCCGTTCTGGAGATGCCTTCAAACAAACATCCATCCATCTAAACATTGGCATTTATAATATTAGTTACATTAGCGACAACTAAGATGTCGCGGAGGTTGGGTAAACATATCTATGTATCTATACATAATAATAAAATTAGATTGTCTGTATGTAATATCGAAAAAAATAATTATTCCATGTACATGAACCAGGGTTGAGTACGTTGTGTTTATTTAATAGTAGCAGTTGTCCGGGATTCCATCAGCAGGAACTAAAATGTTTAGTCTATGTCTCTCGGAAATAGCAAATCTTCCCAACAGTGGAGGAATTTTTCAAATCGGTTCAATAGTTTCCGACCTTCATCATCAGCTCACTATACGTCCAAACAGAAGGGCTCGGAGCCGAAACTAAGTTAAGGGTGATTAGGCCATAGTAAACCACGTTGACCAAGTGCGGGTTGACTTCACACATATCTTTGAATTTCTCAGATATGTGCAGCATCACGATGTTTTTCTTCACTGTAAGAACGTCGTATAAATGTACATATGTAAATTAATTTCCGACCTTATTGAATACAAATATAATTTTTTTTCGTGTTAATAATATTAGTATAGTTTTCAAAAGTCCTTTAAAGTATTCTAGCATGGTAACCCTACACGTATGGAACTTTTTCGAGGATACTGCGTAAGTCTAAATAAGTTTTTTTCTTTGCAGCGAATATGTACTTTTCTTTTTTGTAGACCGACAAGAAACGACACATAAATCCGTATAGTATAGTCTGACAAACTTATTTGGCCTAATAGAAAAAATATAGCCCATAAGACTTTTTTTATATCATTAGGTGGCAAACGAGCGTACGGCATGATCGCTGAAGTAACGAAGCGGTTGCCCATAGACATACGCAATTGCATATGCGTTGACTACCTTTAATCAACAGAAGCACATCATCAGCTCACTATACGTCTCCGCGGCTCGGAGTCTACCCTAAGTTAAGGGTGACTAGGCCATAGTCAACCAAGCTGGCCAAGTGCGGGTTGACTTCACACATATCTTTGACTTTCTCAGATATGTGCAGCATCACGATGTTTTCCTTCACCGTAAGAACGTCGGATAAATGTAAATATGTAAATCGCAAATCGAAAAACACATGTACATAGCGGGATTCGAACCCAGGACCTGCAGATTGTCAGGTGCTTGACTCCTGAGGCACCGAGGCTCGTAACGGAAGCTCAGAAAGAGAATATTTTCCCAATCTGTGCGATGTTAAACGGGGCTCTACTGATGATCTGTTAATGTCGAAAGAAGCCACAAAATCTTTGTGACATCCACACATGTCCTTTGGATGTGGAACCATGTTAATGATTTTAGTCAACTTAGCAAAACTAGTAACAAAATAGGTTGTACTGTGTCTATTTAAGATAGATTCGTTTGACAATTCACTAGTGATGAGTTGTTCTCATAGAATTTGCAATCGAAAATTTCGTAATATATATTTTTTTAATTAAAATATAAAAAAAATTGTTTCTTTGTTTTTTTTTGTGACTGAGCAGTCACTGTTTGCCTTGAAGAGGCATTTACATCTTCACCGGGCTTGAGGTGGGCGAGCGCAGATGGCGCTTAGCCTGAACCTCGTTTATGAGTAACAAGACTCGAGGGCTCCCTCAGGAGCCTCGGCTCGGGCTGTTACTTCATTATTGTTTCTTTGTATTGTTGTTCTAGATATTAAGTTAAACGTAAATAGGTCTAAGACATCAGACCGACACCGACTCGTTAATAACAATAATTGTAAAGTATAGACACGTTTCAAGAAATAAGAGAAACTTCTTACTTTCGGGGTGTTTGTTCATTATTATTTGTTACTTTTTAGTGCATTTTCTTTAAGAATGTTTTTTTGGTTTCAGTATGTTTTTATTTTATTTTGATAACCAAATGAATACTTACATACGAAGATTAACCCTATTTTAAACTCATAGAAATGTCAAAATAATTTTAGGTTATGAAATTCCCGCGCAAACTTTTATCAACGGATGTCAATGTGGTCCAATGTCGATGTATATCAATAGCTATACTAATACTAGCTGTCGTCTGCGACTCCGTCCGCTTGGATATATAAAAAAAACTTATTATATAGATAAATTAAATAACAAGCAGCTCTTCAAGGCATAAATTCGAAAAAAAATGAATAAATAGTATCCTATGTCCGTCTCCTGGCTCTAAGCTACCTCCTCACCAATTTTCAGTCATATCGGTAAAGTCGTTCTTGAGTTATAAATAGTGTAACTAACACCTCTTTCTTTTTTATATATATATACTAGCTGTCGCTCGAGACTCCGTCCGCGCGGGATTAAGAAATAGATGTTTGCCGATTCTCAGAGCTACTCAATATGCTCACAAAATTTCATGAGAATCGGTCAAGCCAATACAATTTTATATTGAAAAATGATTAGAAAATGTTTTTTTGTTGGATAGTCCATTTATAGAGGATTGCTTAAGGCTAAAACATTACGCTGCGACCAATAGTTTTATTTTATTCCGCGCGGACGTAGTCGCAGGCGAAAGCTAGTTTTAGATAAAGAGAAATAATAACAACTACCAAAGACTAATTGAGACAGAAAACACTGGCAGTAAATAAAAAAAAACTTTGTTTTTTGCAAAACGAAGGCAAAAGCTTTTTTCGTGCAGCCACAACGTTTTGTATTAAAAATAAAAAAAAAATTAAGAAGTAATGAAATTTATTGCTATTTGTTATCGATACATTATAAAAAAAGGTTATCAAAAGTAAAAAAGATAAAATCCTTTCTGCCGCCCGGTTCTCCATCCGCTTAAAAATTAAAAAACCTTAATTAAAGTAGCCTATAGTTCTTCCAGACTATGTTCTACATCTATGTTAAATTTCTGCAAGATTCATGCAGCCGTCCTGGAGATATCTTCTTACAAACATCCATTTAAACTTTTTCAACTTACTAATATTATTAATGCCAATATTTGGATGTATGGATGGATGGATGTTGGTTAGAATGTATCTCCAGAAAGACTGCATGAACATATAGGTTACTAATATGTTTTTTAACTCCTAGCGGACGGAGTCTCGGGCGACAGAAAGGGTTTTATCTTTTTTTACTTTTGATAACCTTTTTTATAACGTATCGATAACAAATAGCAATAAATTTCATTAATTCTTAAAAAAATATATTTTATTTTTAATACAAAACGTTGTGGCTGCACGAAAAAAGCTTTTGCCTTCATTATGCCAAAAAAATACAATATTAGTAAGAAGTATATTTAGAAACTTGACGTCAATTTGCGATATTTACAATGATTAGATTTTTATTTGGGACGTATATACTGTTCACCCCGTTATTGAATTACCCAGGCCATTTCAAACTGTTTGTAATAAATTTATATCATTTAGGAGGCGCTTTAAAATATTCATAATTAATTCTCCAGTAATGTAGACTGGCCAGTTTTATAAACTTGTTTACAGACTAAATACGAGAATAAAACTGGATACAAATAAAACGAATAACTTTGATGTCGTACAGACAAGAGATATTTAGTTTTTTTTTTTCTATAAGGGGAAAAATACGGCTAGGATTCATTAAATAGGTATTAAAGTTTGTCAAAAAAAACACGTAGAATCATACCACTATTTAGTTTTTTATTTTTGTAAGTTAAATTGCTTCATATTTTGTAATGTTGAATAATATTTATTTCGAATCTGAATATTTACGTATTTTTTTTAATCTGTACTTTTTTTAGTGATTTTTGACATGTCAAGGTCATTGACACGCACATTCTTTTTAATAAAACATAGTAGATCGTTTTAATTTTTATGATATAAGCAAATTGTTTCTGGTACGAATATAATTATGGTCAAACCGATTGTCTATATAAAGTATCATTAGGATAACAAAAAATGATATAAAAAACCGTTATAAACCATTCCAACACTAGTAGTAAAAAAAAAAACTTACATATCTTCCATACATTAAAATACGTTCAAATCAAAACAACTACAAATTAAAATGATAATCCACAATTAAATTTAATTATAAACACTTGATTAACAAATATAATTATAGTTACAATGAATTATCGATAATTAAAAAACAATTTTAAAATATAAAAGTCGTACGCGTACACTGCCACTGATTATAAAATTAATAAAACAAAATCAAAATGGCGACCGGGCGTGCTCTTTCGACGCGTCTGTAAACGATACTAAGGTACGTTGGTAGCATAAAAAAAAACGAGTTCAATGCAAAACGATTATGGATGGTACAAACTTTAATATAATTATTATTTTATTGGAATTTGTAGAAAGGATATGCGTAAGGAAGTGAAGTCAGATGTGACGGAAGCTAGATATTTTGAAGAAAGCGATGTATATTGCCATCTCTTTCATTCGTTTTGAAAATATACTGACATGTTTATACGTGTACGTATTTTGACAGTTGAAAATAACCTCAAAGATTTTTTGTTTCTTATCGCCGTCTATTTATTAACGCAATAAACATTTTTAATATAAATTAAATTACCTTTGATTTCTAAGACCTAAATATGTTTATAAACCTACATAGATAAGAATATGTTTTAAAGTCAGATTTAGGTCTCAAAAACACACGGTAAGTCATTCTCGTGTCATCCGTTTTTCTTCGAATATACGCAAATAAGGAAAGTACCGATCGAATAAAATATCATCTTACTAATATTATAAATGCCAATGTTTAAATGTATGTTTGAAGGTATCTCCAGAACGTCTGAACGGATCTTAAAATTTGTCATACATATAGAACATAGTCTGGAAGAACACATAAACTAATAATTATGTTTTTTAATTCCGCGCGGACGGATTCGCGAGCCACATCTAGTAATAAAATAAAACCGTTTAATAAGAATACATGAATCATTTTTGTTTTAGCCGCAATAAAGTAATTGGCGCCAACCCTATCATAAGTGGCATGCAATCTGCGCACTTAGATGTCACTTGGCCTATGTCATAAGTGGAAGCGGAAAGTAACAAAAATGTTGAATTAATACATAAAAGAGAAATTTTGTAATTTTTTAAGGAATTTACGAGAACAGATAGATGTAAATTTTGATACATTTACAATATTGAAGAGGAAATTAAAAAAAAAATGTTTTAAATTATTAGCTTTCGCCCGCGACTTCGTCCGCTCGGAACAACAAAAACTTAAGGTAGCTTTTGTGTTCGTGCAGACTATATAATCCATGCAGCCAGTGTGGAGATACCTTCTGCCAAAAACATGCATCTAAACATTCGCATTTATAATTATTTATATTAGTAAGAAGGTTGAATTTCGACCAAATGGTGACCACTAGTGTTATGTTACATATTATAGTTTGAATTTTGAGGACACATTGTAATTAGCAACTGAAATCAACATTCAAAACTTAAGATCGATTTGAAAATGTTTTTTATTCCTTTGCAGTAAACGAAATATCAAAGATTGTATCGCTCTCGAAATTAGTACTCTCAAAAATAGATACAGATTTAATATTGGTTATACCTTTTAATTTTTTTTATATTTTTAGGGTTCCGTACCTAATAGGAAAAAAACGGAACCCTTATAGGATCACTTTGTTGTCCGTCCGTCTGTCTATCAAGACCCTTTTGTTCAAAGAGAATGTAAGTCAAATTATTCAAACTTTCAAGAGACATTATAATAAACTGATATAAAAACGGCTAAACACTCACGTATATACGTCCGGTGGCGGCACCGACTAGTTCCGAGCCCATCGCGGGCCCTTCATCAGGATGTGGTACTGATATTATTTCGCGGACGCGGCCCGTCACTCTCTGCGCGCCTGAGTACCAGTACCACCGGACGAATATACGACAGTGTTTAGCCGTTTTTATATCAGAATGTAAGTCAAAAGTAATGTGGAATTAAAGAAAATTATAAAAATATCGTAACAAAAAGCTATCTCTTTATAATTGTACCAAACATACTTTGCGGTATAGAGTTATCTGCGTTTCGCTCAACAGTTCCGAAGAAAGATTTCATGTTTTTTATTTATTTATTTATTATGAATTACTTTAAATAATTGAATTAAAGAGATTTTCAAATAGAAAGTACTTTAGTAAGAGTTTTCGACATTTCAAGGTCGTTGCAAGACAGAGATGGAAGATATAAAGTAAGGAGAGGAACAAGGATAGATATACATTGCTAGTGAAGTAGGTCCCTTACGATAAATTTTCACTTTTTTGTTTTTTTTTTAAATATGGAACAGGATAACAATATTTTCTTTACATTTGTTTCGAATTTCTATACAATATTTGTCGATTTGACTTCAAAAGTTACAAAATAACTAGAATTTTCCGTGAAATCGTTGATTGCTAATACTATCTTACTAATATTATAAATTAGCTTAAATTATTAGCCGCGTGGATATATAAAAGAAAACATAATTAGTGTAGCCCACCCATCCATCCATCCACATCACATCCATCTAAACATTCGCATTTTAAAATGAATGAATATTATTCTATGTCCGTCTCCTGGCTCTAAGCTACCTCCTCACCAATTTTCAGGCATATCAGTAAAGCCGTTCTTGAGTTATAAATAGTGTAACTAACACCACTTTCTTTTATATATATATATATATATATATATATATATATATATATATATATATATATATATATATATATATATATAGATGTGAATGTTTGGATGGAAGTTGAACGTTCTCCACAACGCATAGGTTGCTAATTTTTTTTAATCCCTCGCAGACGGAGTCGCGTGCGACAGAAAGTTTTGGCTATAAAATAACAAACTTCGCAATGTCAAGGACGTGTTTATTTGCTATTATTTTTACATCGAAATATTATTTTCATAAATATTTTGAAAAGAAATCTTTGAAAAATAATTGTTATTGTAAAATTGCACTATTGTGTACATAAACAATCAAAATTTAACACAATAATCCTTTTTCTCGATTCTCGATTATTCTATCATTTCACTGGTATGGCGGCCATTTTGGTTTGATTGTTGATTGTTATATTCGTCACAACATAATTATTTACTAACTAGCTGTCGCTTGCGACTTCGACGGAAATCAAAAAGGATTTTTTTTATATCATAATGTGGCAAACGAGCGGCCACCTGAAATCGCTGAAATAGCGAAGTGACCGTTGCCCATAGACATACGCAATTGCATATGCGTTGCCTACCTTTAATTGACGGAGGAGAGGATGCACAGAAAGAAAATATTTGCCCTTTCCATGCATTGTCTCATACGGAAAGTCCACTTTCACTTCCCATCTTTTCCTTATAAGTGTGGGAAGGAAAAGAGGACTAAAATTAGGCCTCCGGGACGCACACTCATCAGACGAAACGCGGAATTGCTTCCACTTAACGCCTGTCTTCTGTGTGATCGTGGTATGTCGCCTGGCCGATTCGTGCGAAGATGTTAAAGCAAGCTCTACTATATCTCTAAAAAAAATTTCAAACATTTTGAAGGTTATCCGGAAGAGTTTTTAATTTTTAGCATCGTATAAATTTTTTAACGAAATATTTTTAATACATACAGACACATAAATTATATTTATTATATATATAGATTATGGGACAAAGAGTGGCTAATGACGTGTTTTATTTACGGAAGAATCTATACTAATATACTAGCTGTCGCCCGCGCCTCCGTCCGGGCGGGATTAAAAATAGATGTTGTCCGATTCTCAGAGCTACTCAATATGCTCACAAAATTTCATGAGAATCGGTCAAGCCGTTTCTGAGGAGTATGGAAACGAAAATTGTGATACGAGAATTTTATATGTTTATGTATAAGATTATAAAGCGGAAGAGTTTGTTTAAACGCGCTAATCTCAGGAACTACTGGTCCGATTTGAAAAATTCTTTTTTTAACGGATAGTCCATTTATAGGGGAAGCTATAACATTACGCTGCGACCAATAGTTTTTCTTTAATTCCGCGCGGAAAGCCGCGGGCGACAGCTAGTAAGTAATAAGCAGGTTATTGTTTTTATTACTAATTTTTTGGGCATAAAGTTTGTTTTGACTTATATGGATGCTGCTGCCCACGACTCCGTCCGCCGGGAATTAAAAAAAGTTGATACGTATCCTATTTGTTCTTCCAGACTATGTTCTATATCTACGCCAAATTGTATTAAGATCTGTTGAGTCGTTTAGGACATACCTTCTAAGTGAAATCCATCCATCCATCTAAACATTCGCATTTATAATATAAGTAAGATAAACAAGACAAGACTTTTATTGTATCGTCAAATTAATTGTGTAAAAAAATCAATTTAAAGCAATAGATGTTGTTTATGAAAATTGCTATAAATTTTTAACAGGCGTTTTTTTGCGTGAAATTTTTCGTTAGTTTTATTATTTTCGGTTTTAAAAAAAAAGGTTCAATGAAGTAAACGAAACAACTTTTTTCTTTTTTAATTATTTATTTCTGCTACAACTAATATGGAATTACATATTTAAGAGCTAATCTTGCAGAATAATCCCAAACCGGACATCGTCAGCAAAGATGGCGACCACTGTAATGGAAAAGAGTTTTATAAATACAATTAAAAAGACTTCATATCTGATTTTTTCTTAAAAAATCAATAGGGACTAAATGTTTTTCTAAATGTAACTTAAACAGAGAAAAATCATCATTCAACTTAGCATATTTGTAATATATATATATAGCTATAGCCGGCGAGTCCGTTCGAGCGGAATTAAAAAAAAACTTCATTATACAGGATGTCCCAAAATGTGACGTACATAGGAAGGGGGATGATAGGGGTGGTCACAAGGGTTACCAGAAAAATTAAATAAAAATTCCCCACTGGGTATTATAAAAAATAAAGGGCATTTTTTGCCCCAGAAGGTGTAAAATTTTTAAGTTTTTAAAAAATGCCCTTTATTTTTTTTAATACCCAGAGGGGACTTTTTATTTTATTTATCTGGTGTCCCTTGTGACCACCCCTATCAACCCCCTTCCTATGTACGTAACCTTTTGGGACACCCTCTATGTTCTTCCAGACTATGTTCTACATCTGTGCCAAATTTCATCGAGATCTATAAAGCCGTTATGGAGATACCTTCAAACAAACATACATCCAAACATTCGCATTTATAATATTAGTAAGATATAAATTCTCTTGATTAATACTTACGCTAAGCTCTATACCATATGTGGTGTCGTTTTCCGAAGACATGACAGATTCATTCAGGTCACCCTGTATACATATTTAAAAAAAAATGTTTTTTAACAACTTAAAAACCTTACTCTACAGAATTACAAATACAGGCATTGCCTAATGTGGGCATCACTAGATTATCCAAACTAACCATAAATAGTAACTTAAATCTAATTTAATTTCTTAGTTACATCGTTATTTCTATGAATACATGAACTCTTAAATCTATGATATAAAATATAATAAAAAAAAAAAACGAATAATTAACTAAAATATGTATTTCTTAGTTATGTGCAATTTTATTATGTTAGTTATTATTTCTTGGTTTAATCTGTATTACCTATAATAAAAACTTTTCTTTTAAAAAAAAATTAAGCCACTTTTTTAGCTTACAAAAGTAGGAGGTTATCAATTAGTCTGAATGTTTTTTTATAATTTTAAATCATAGTTAACTACTCATGTAGTAGTTAATTATGTAGTTAACTATGATTAGAGTAGATTTTGAAATGGCCCATGAAGTTTTTGAGTTTTATTTTAAATATTTGTATAATTAAACAAGTGCTCGTGTAGTTTTTTTAACTATTTATTGAATAGTTACTTATGTAACGAAAATAAGAAAAATAGCCCGCGTTCTCGTAGCACACTTATATCCAATGAACGTCTAATGCACCATTGTTGCCAGTACAGGAAAAAAGTTTATAATAATTTGAATGTTGCCAATACAAAAAGAAATTAATAAGAATGAAACAAAAACAATAAATAATTTATGTGAATTAATTGAACGAATATTGTAATGTGATTTAAGCGTAATTCTAGGAAAGAGTTAAACCACCGTTGCCCATAGACATGCAATTGCATATGCATCGCCTTTAATCGACGGAGGAGATAATGCCCAGAAAGATAATATTTTACCTTCCCATGCATCTCGTCCAGTAAATTAGCGTTTAAGCGTCAATAGCCTAATGGTTAGGGGTACGGATTTCTGATTACGAGGTCGGGGGTTCGAATCCCGCCATTCGACTATTGTCGTAAACCATATCCTAGCACAAGCCTTTAACTTAGTTGGAATGGTAAAAGAAATATTAGTAAATTTACAAAAAAATCTGCTAATATTTTTTGTAAAAAAAAAAAAAATCCAACTTCCACTTCACATCCTTATAAGATAAAGGTTAGGAATATAAAGATGACTAAAATTAGTCCTGCGAGACGCACACTCATCAGATTGTAGTTGGAATTGCTTCCACTTGAGGCGTGTCTTCTGTGTGGTCGTGGTATTGCATCGGAAGAGACCAATTCATGCGAAGACGTAGAAGAGGGCTCTACCACTGTTAATAATTAAAAGTTTATTTGTTTCAAACATAGAGATAGAAATCTTTGTAACTCACCGATACCTCTAGTTCATTCTCTTCATCGCCCTGTAAAAAAAGTTAAGAATAAATACTCCATTTACGAATATTGTAACGATAAAAAATAAAAAAAAACTCACAGAAAAAACATCAAACTCATTGTCACCCTGTAAAGAAAAAATTACGATGAGCAATAATACATAATAAAATCAAAATAAAAATGTCTTAATAAAAGAAACTTACCGAAGACTCTTCAAACTCTTGCTTGTCGCCCTAATAAAAAAATAATAAGTATAGAACTGTTTTAAAACTTAAAAATGTTAATTAAAAAATAATGAAAATACAAAAACTCACAGAAAAAACATCAAACTCATTGTCACCCTGTAAAGAAAAAATTACGATGAGCAATAATATATAATAAAATAAAAATAAATGTCTTAATATAAAAAAACTTACCGAAGACTCTTCAAACTCTTGCTTGTCGCCCTAATAAAAAAATAATAAGTATAGAACTGTTTTAAAACTTAAAAAAGTTAGAGAAAAAAATCAAAAATACAAAAACTCACAGAAAAAACATCAAACTCATTGTCACCCTGTAAAGAAAAAAATATGATGAGCAATAATATATAATAAAATAAAAAAAATGTCTTAATAAAAGAAACTTACCGAAGACTCTTCAAACTCCTGTTTGTCGCCCTAATAAAAAAAATATTATAATAAGTATAGAACTGTTTTAAAACTTAAAAAAATTAGAGAAAAAAATCAAAAATACAAAAACTCACAGAAAAAACATCAAACTCATTGTCACCCTGTAAAGAAAAAAATACGATGAGCAATAATATATAATAAAATAAAAAAAAATGTCTTAATAAAAGAAACTTACCGAAGACTCTTCAAACTCCTGTTTGTCACCCTGAAATCAAGAAAAAGATATTCCTTGATATTCAAAAATCTCCTATTAGTTTGTTGAATTTTAAAAAGCAATCGTTATTTTAAAAAAATGCAAAAGAGTTGCATGTTCTTTTTAAAGATAAACTTACTGAGAAACTGTCAAACTCGTCCTCTTTGTCGCCCTGCAAATAAAAAATATATTTGAAAACGTATAATTGCAAAAAGGAAAACCGACTTATAATAACACATTCTCAAACAAAATGCACTAAAGAGTAACAAAATAATGACATCAATACACTCGAAAATAAAAAAAAAATATTTTCTTTTTCTAATATGTTTATAGTTTACAGTCATACGGGAGGGGGTCGAGTCAAATCTCATGTAATCTTACTTTGGAGAGAGGGCGGGTCTCGGCAAATATCACGCAATTTTTTTTTTCAGATCGGAACAAAAAAAAAAATTATACTTTTTTGTTCCAGCAATCAGCAATATTGATTACTAATCTTAACTAGTCGTAAATAAAAACAAGAAGCAATTTTTTTTTTTACAATACCAATCCAACGTGTTTACGTAAAAAAGTCGGATTTTGAAAAATCTCACGTGAGATTGGGGGATGGGGGAATAAAATCTCACGACACCTCACCTGGGGGGGAGCGCAAGCAGAAGATTTTAAATAACACCTCAGTTAATTTATGAACGCCTTATTATTTGGGAGTCGGTGTCGGAGGAAGATTTCACTAATATACCACGGCAAACACCATTTTATATCTGAGATGTCTTAAATTCAATTACTCACTGAGAAAACATCCAGTTCGATTTTGTATTACTAATTTTAGACATTATGAGTTAGAATTATTTGGCGCGCATTCGTTACAAAGTCAAGTGTCAGATGTAGTGAGGGGATATAAACGATGACATTTTGTTTTATCATAAGGTGGCAAACGAGCGAGCGGCCACCTGAAATCGATGAAATAGCGAAGTGACCGTTGCCCATAGACATACGCAATTGCATATGCGTTGCCTACCTTTAATTGACGGAGGAGAGGATGCACAGAAAGAAAATATCTTCCCTTTCCTTGCATCCTCTCATCCGGAAAGTCCACTTCCACTTCCCATCCTTTCCTTATCAGAAAAAGGATGGGAAGGGATAGAGGACTAAATGAGGCCTCCGGGACGCACACTCATCAGACGAAACGCGGAATTGCTTCCACTTCACGCCTGTCTTCTGTGGTGTGACATTTTTATAAGGCTAGTGTTGCGTCACACCCACACATCGGAATTTCTTCCTAACATTAAATAACAATTCCTTAAGAAAAGTCAAATAACTTAGAAAAATTCATCAACTTACCGATGAAACATCAAACTTGTCATCACCCTGTAATTAAAAATATCATCATCAGTTCACTATACTTCCCCACCGAGGGGCTCGGAGCCTACCCTAAGTTAAAAGTGATTAGGCCATAGTCAACCACGCTTGCCAAGTGCGGGTTGACTTCATACATATCTTTGAATTTCTTCTCAGATATGTGCAGCATCACGATGTTTTCCTTCACCGTAACAACGTCGGATAAATGTACATATGTCAATCGGAAATCGAAAAACACATTGGTACAGGATTCGAACCCATGACCTGCAGATTGCAAGTCAAGTGCTTGACCACTGAGCCACCGACGCTCAAATTAAAAATTAAAAATATGTTATACTAATATTATAAATGCGAATGTTTAGATGTATGTTTGTTTGAATATATCTCTAAAACCGCTGAACGGATCTTGATGAAATTTAGCATACGCATAGAACATAGTCTGGAAGAACACATAGGCTACACTAATTAAGTTTTTTTTTTAAATTCTGACAGCTAATTAAGAATAAAACAACTCACGGAAAATACATCGAACTCGTCTATGTCACACTAAAAATAAAAAAAAATAGTATGAGTTATCTATATATCAAAGTAAAAATTACTATAAATAAAATTCATAAGACTTACCGATGATTCTTCAAACTCCTGTTTGTCGCCCTGATTGAAAAAAGGAAGCATTTTAAAAATAAAATAAAACGATTGCCTCTAAGTTGACAAATAAGTTTAGTTATTATTTTCGTAGTCATAATTTCATCATCAGCTCACTATGAATCCCGACTGAGAGGCTCGGAGCCTACCCTAACTTAGAGGTGATTACGCCATAGTCAACCACGCTGGCCAAGTGCGGTTTGACTTCACACGTATCTATGAATTTCTTCTGCGTCTAGGGGAGCGTCGGTGGCTCAGGGGTCAAGTACTTGACTTGTAAAATTACCTGCAGGTCCTGGGTTCGAGTCCCGCCATGTACCAATGTGTTTTCGATTTTCGATTTACATATGTACATTTATCCGACGTTCTTACGGTGAAGGAAAACAACGTAATGCTGCACATATCTGAGAAAGTCAAAGATATGTGTGAAGTCAACCCGCACTTGGCCAGCGTGGTTGACTATGGCCTAATCACCTTTAACTTAGGGTACGCTCCGAGCCCCTCGGTGGGGACGTATAGTGAGCCGATTCATCTTACTATCTTATCTTAATAATATTATGAATGCGAATGTTTATATGTATGTTGTTATTATAGAAGGTACCTCTAAAATGACTGTATGGATCTTACTGAAATTTGTCATACATATAGAACATAGTATGGAAGAACACATAGACTACTAATTATGTTTCATTCCGTTTAGTGCGGACGGAGTCGCGGGCGACAGCTAATGTTTTATAATAGCATTATTATACAGTAGAGGAAAACATAACTGAGTACTCTTACTAATATTATAAAGGCAAAAAAATTTGAATGGATGGTAAACTTACGGAGAAAACATCGTATTTGTTATCATTGTCGCCCTGAAAAAAAAATTTGAAGATGTTAAGTTTTATAGCTATTATTAAATTATTTTTTTTAATATATAAAAAATGATTACCGAAAAAATATCGTAAATATTTTCTTTATCAGCCTGTAATAAAATATTTTTTTTTTTAATTCATAAGACATACATTTTTAGACATTATAAGTTGGAATTATTTGGCGCGCTTTTGTAATAAAGTCAAGTGTCAGATGTAGTGAGGGGGCATAAACGTCGACTAATAAGGCTAGTGCGTCACACCGGCACATCGAATTTTATTCCTAACAGTATTTATAGATAATAATATAAGACTAAACTCACCGAAAAACTGTGAACCTCATCCGTGAAATATGTTACATCTGTGAAAAATATAAATAAGATTTTTGTTTTCTATCCTATCTTATATATAAAATTCTCGTGTGACAATTTTCGTTCCCATACTCCTCCGAAACGGCTTGACCGATTCTCATGAAATTTTGTGAGCATATTGACTAAGTCTGAGAATCGGACAACATCTATTTTTCATCCCGCGCGGACGGAGTCGCGGGCGACAGCTAATTAATATTATGCGAATGTCTAGATATATTAATGTTTGTTAGATCTCTAAAACGGCTCAACGAATCTCGATGAAATTTGTCATATATATAGAACATAGTCTGGAAGAACACAGACTAATAATTAAGTTTTTTTTTATTTCCGCGCGGACAGTCTTAGGTGATAGCAAGTAATAGTGTAGCCTATGTTATCTTTCAGAGTATGTTCTATACGTATGCCAAATTTAATCGAGATCCGTTCTGTCGTTCTAGAGATATCTTCAAACACCCATCCATCCACATCACATCCATCTAAACATTCGCATTTATAATATTAGTAAGTTAAATAAAAAGCAGCTCTTCAAGGCATAAATTCGAAAAAAAAATATTGAATAGTCCTATGGCCGTCTCCTGGCTTTAAGCTACCTCTTCACCAATTTTCAGGCATATCGGTAAAGCCGTTCTTGAGTTATAAATAGTGTAACTAACACCACTTTCTTTTATATATAAAAATAATCTCACCACAGGAACTTAATGCGATGTTTAAGAACTGTAAAAAAAATACAGATGTAGTTAATATTTTTTTTAATTACAAAACTAATGGATTAAGTTATTAATATAATTAAAATTTTTCATCGAATATTATTCAAAAAGTCTGGATGACCGTATTTTTTTTAATTGTGATTTTTGGAAATTATATTTAAGTACGAATTACTAATAAAATGATGAAATATGAATAATATTTTTCGATCTTAACGATAGAAAAACTTAAGTTTATGTTTAAGTTGATTATCTATAAAACACGAATAAAATGACATTATATAAAAATGAATGAATGAATATTTATTGCCACAAACAAGGAAAAGAAAAACTACAAAAAAAAACAAGTTAAATTAAATGAATTGAGGATGTGGCAAAAAAAAAGGTAGCCAGCTCAGCTGGTGCAGGGAGGTCTTGACCAATCCTGCGCTGGTTTTCAGCTGGCCCTTTTGTTTTCACACCATTTGCACAGCACGAGGTAGGGTAAGCAGAATAAAAACAGATACAACGGAAAAAAAAGCAAAAAACGACAATTAAACATTAAAATTTTGATTGATTTTTTAGATACGAAATAACAATTTTAACTATAAGAATATAAAATGATTCCTAGCTAGATCGATTTATCGCCCCCGAAACCCCCTATATTTAGTATATATTTTATGAAAATCGTTGGAGCCGATAAGAATTGCTCATTTAAAGATATAAGATAAAAAAGAAAGTATATTAATATGAAAAAAATTACAGTTAACTTACGAAAATAACGTAATAGATTTTCATAATTTTAAATGTTGCCATTTTCTTTCACTTACAATTCAATCCTGAATATGTATGGATGGATGCACATAATATTTATACGTTAATTATATAAAAACTTGTTTAACTTTGTGATAAGACAAAAACTTGAATTACGAGATACATGTATCTTATACAAAAAAAGTGGTTCAAGTTTGTTAAAAGATTACTCGCTTGAAAATCAAACAAGACATCTAATTTTAGACTTGTTTTCTTCCCACGCTTTTTCTTATAAGGAAAGGATAGCATGGGAAAGTGGGGAAACATGTGCGTCCCTTACCCTGTCGATTAAAATTATGCAATTCATCATCATCATCAGCTCACTATACGTCGCCACTGAGGGGCTCGGAGCCTACCCTAAGTTAAGGGTGATTAGGCCATAGTCAACCACGGTGGCCAAGTGAGGTGACTTCACTCATATCTTTGACTTTCTCAGATATGTGCAGCATCACGATGTTTTCCTTCACCGTAAGGATGTCGGATAAATGTACATATGTAAATCGGAAATCGAAAAACACATACATAGCGGGATTCAAATCCAGGACCTGCAGATTGCAAGTCAAGTGACCCCCTGAGCCACCGACGCTCTTGCAATTTCATATGCAATTGCTAATGTCCATGTGGCTATTGTTTGCCATTTAATAATATAAAAAACGTTTTTATAAACTAAAAGGGACAGATGTAAAGGTATATTGGGAAACGTCGACAGGAAAGTCTCGTTTAATTCCGTTTATTATGGTCCCCGCAGACCACTGTTTGGGAATCATTGGATCACTAACGTTTATAAATGGACTCGCTATAAGACTTAGTATTTTGTGCTTATTTGATTAACGCCATTTTGTCGCTGATTGTATTAGTTTGTAATTAAATGTCACGTTGTGCATCTTCTCCTCCGTCGATTAAAGGTAGGCAACGCATATGCAACGTATGTCTATGGGTAACGGTCACTTCGCTATTTCAGCGATTTCAGGTGACCGCTCGCTCGTTTGCCACCTTATGATATAAAAAAAACGAACGGAAAAAAGGGATCATGGTATGAACACAACAAAAGGTTACCGAGCCTTCATAAAGTTTGAATAGCAATGTATAAAGGCTTAATCATTAAACTTCGACGTTTGTTAATTAATTAATTTTTATTTAAATCAAATGATTTTATTTTAATTGGAAACGTTTTCGAATAATTTATTTGCATCATGAAAAGTGTTTTAATAAATTATTGCTTTGTCCTGTGACTTTACGCGGCATTAAATAGTAATTAGCTTATGTGCTCTATGACTTTTTAAACAGAGAAAGCAATATTTTTAGTACAAAAATATTAGTCTCGAGAAATCAATATTAAGCGAGTAATACCTAAACAAAGAGTAAACTTGCAAATAAATGAATTCACAAAATAGCTGTCGCCCGCGACTCTGTCCTCGCCGAATTAAAAACAACTTAAAAAGTAGTCTATGTGAAGGTTTATGGGTTGGTTTTTGTTAGAAAGTATTTCTAGAACGTCTCCACGGATCTTGGTGAAATTTGGCATAGATTCTTCTTATAGTGCCTCTTCAGTGTTGAAGCTTGGCTGCTTTGAATATTTGGTTCTGTCAAGTGCAAGGCGAAACAGTTCCTCCGCCGACCTAATCCCCGTTCACTCCCTAATATATTTTTTTATATCATAAAGTGACAAACGAGCGAGCGGCCACCTGAAATCGCTGAAATAGCGTAGTGACCGTTGCGCATAGACATACGCAATTGCATATGCGTTGCCTACATCTAATCGACGGAGGAAAGGATGCACAGAAAGAAAATATTTTCCCTTTCCATGCATCCTCTCTCTCCGGAAAGTCCACTTCCACTTTCCATCCTTTCCTTATAAGAAAAAGTGGGAAGGGAATGAGGACTAAATCAGACCTCCGGGACGCACAATCATCAGACTGTACTTGGAATTGCTTCCACTTCACGCCTGTCTTCTGTGTGGTCGTGGTATTACACTGAGTGAGACGGGACAGTTCGTGCGAAGATGTTAAAGCTGGCTCTACCACTATTGATTATACACAATATTACGTAGCCACAATTTTTCCTATGTCCAGCGCGTCTCTTGTCTTCAATCTTGCCCATCATTATCAGCTGAAGAAATTTATACCTGTCGTACTGTATTACATGGCCCAAGTATTCCACTTGGCATAGAAATCTGAAAGAATAGATTACTAATTAAGTTGTTTTCTTAATCCGCGCAGATGGAGTCGCGGCTAGAAATAAGTAACTTAATAAACCTATAAACATTCAGAATAGTATTATTTACAAACTGATAAACTAGAATAAAATATAGAGTTGTTTATTTGAACAAGTATATAGAAAATCTAGAGCAGTGAACATTGTTAAATCTCAGTTATATTGTTACTTAATTTTAACCTAAAAATGCAGTAAATACGACTGTAAAGGATGGCGGCGATGCAACAAAATTAAACTGATTTTCAATATGGGTGCGCAATGTACGTTCGACGGACGACATTCGACTGCGAATCAGGGTGATCGGCACATCGCAGTCGTGTCCGGTCTTTCTACTCAAATGTCCGGCTAAACTAATCAGTCCGGCTATTAGGTGTGGCGATTGACAACCCTAACTGAACAGATAAGAGATGCGATGTTTTGTTTGCACACAAAATACGTAAATTCTCCTTGGGCATAAGAAATGGCACAAAAACATGACACCTACAATACGAGAAGGACATTTGACATTGATTAGGGACGCTAGTGAGCTATTAAAATTAATTGGAGTCTCACCACCTCAGGATAATGTTTTTTTTTTATAACAGAAAGGGGCAAACGAGCAGCGGGAACACCGAGGTGTTCAACAACGCCCATGGACATTAGCAATACCAGAGGAACCGCAGATGCGTTGCCGGCCTTTGAGATGGTGATAACTTCGCATATATTATATTTTTATCCATACTAATAATTGCATTTATAAGGCTAAACTACTTAACCGATTGGGAAACTACACTATACTACACATCCCTAGGTTACATAGTCTATGTTTTTTAATTTTGTTTTATTACGGGCGCCTGCCATTCCGTAAGAGCGTCGCTGGCACAGGAGTCAAGTACTTGACTTACCAGGCAATATCCAGGCCCTGTGTTCGAATGCCGCCATGTACCAATGTGTTTTTCGATTTCCGATTTGCATATGTACATTCGACGTTCTTACGGTGAAAGAAAGCATCGTGATACTGCACATATCTGAGGAGAAATTCAAAGATATGTGTGAAGTCAAAGCGCATTTGGCCAGCGTGGTTGACTATGGCATAATAACTAACTTATGGTAGTCTCCGAGCTCGGTGGGGACTTATAGTGAACTGATGATGATGATGGATGCCATTCCACGTTTCATGTAATAAGTGTGCGCGTAGTTTTAATCCTCTTTACAAAAGTATATTTGATGGTGCGTTAGTTGTAACATTTTTGTCTGTAAGTTATCTGAAGACCGTGTTTGTTCCAGGTAATCTCCGAAACTGCTGAACGGATATTATCGGGACTTTGACTGGAAGGTAGCTAATGTAAGCAGGAGTAACATAGGCTACTTTTTTTTAAATTCCATACTAAAAAATTTGCGGGAACACCTAAATAGTAATACTGATATAAAATAATAAGTAATTCGTACTAGAAACAACATTGTTATCAATGGACGTAATTTTTATTCATACAAAATGTCTTTATCAAAAAGTAATTGAGGAATAACAGACAAAATTTATAACGCAGGAATATTAGCAAGCTTAAACACTTTTTCCACTAGCGCGACTGTCGCGCCATTGTAGTCGCGCTTAACTATTTCTAAAAGTAATTTATTAAAATAAAACTAAGTACATAATAATCTATCGTACTTCGTACTAATGTTATAAATGCGAATGTTTAGATGTTTGTTTGAAGGTAGTTCAGAACGGTTGAACGGATCTCGCTGAAATTTGGCAATGATGTAGAAGATAGTCTGGAAGCGAGCGTATCACCATCTCAAAGGCCGGCAACGCATCTGCGGTTCCTCTGGTATTGCTGATGTCCATGGGCGTCGTTGAACACCTCGGTGTTCCCGCTGCTCGTTTGCCCCTTTCTGTTATAAAAAAAGAACACGTAGGACTACTACTAATTTTATTTATACAGCTGTCGCCCGCGATTCCGTCCGCGCGGGATTAAAAATATTATAGATGTTGGCTGATTCCCAGACCTACTCAATATGCTCACAAAATTTCATGAGAATCGGTCAAGCCTTTTCGGAGGAGTAAATTGTGACACGATAATCTTTATATATATAATTCTTGTGAGTGTGTATGTCATTTAATTTCTCTCAAACGACTGGACCGATTTTGGTGAAATTTTTTGTGTGTGTTCAAGGGGATCTGGGAATGGTTTAGATTCACAATTTTGTCCGCTGAACAATGTTTTTTTAATTAATTTTTAATTTATTAGTAGTTGTTGATTTTGGAATGTTTTACAATGGATCCGACAGACGGCGCTACCATCGCAGTGTCAAATTTTTAAATTAAAGACGTGCAGACAGGACAACGTCTGTCGGGTCCGCTAGTTTTATATATAAGATTTTGTGCGGACTGAGTCGCATGCGACATGGTCCATCATGAATCCGTCAGCATCAAAATGTCGAAAATCAAAAAAGCATAAAATAACACGAGTATAGCCTGTCCAATGTTACAGAGGTCAGTGTCTTTCACTAAATATACGGGTCTATTGCCTCGTGCTGAACGCAGGGACCCCAACGGATTTTAGTTTGCTTTGAATCATAGCGCTGCATCCGCGCCGCCTGATTCAAAAGACATAGGAAAACAGGCACGGGCCAATGGACACGTACCTTAAAGTTACGCTGGCGGCGTCTTGCAGCTAACGGTTCAGTGAAAAATAACTTTAAATGACACTCAAATTACTAGTTTACAAATAAGTTGGAAAACGATCATGCGTAACCGATAAAAAAATTAAAAGCATTTGCTGTAAGTACACGCCCTATTCATGAAGTTTTTATCATTTTACAAGATTATTATTTCTAGATCAATGGTTCCCAAACTTATTTTGTCTACTGCGTTTGAGAATAAAAATTTTTTTAGCGCTGCCATATTTTCACATATTTAAAAACCACTATAACTTCAAATTAAATTAATTAATTATTGTGACCTATATATGTATATTAACGGAGAATTGTAAAGGAAACTTTTACTATAACCCGCAACTTGAGACCTGCAGCGCACACAAGGGGGCGTTATCGCTCACTTTGGGAAAGACTGGTCTAGAATCTTGTTTACGCCAAAGGCACTCGATACCTGTTTGTCAAGGTTGTCGGAGAGTTAGAAATATTTGTATGGAGACGATATTAAAAAAATAGAGCGTCTGTGGCTCAAGCACTTGACTTGCAATCTGCAAGTCCTGGGTTCGAATCCCGCCATCTACCAATGTGTTTTTCGATCTCTGATTTACATATGTACATTAGTCCGCTGATGCAACCTGCACATATCTGAGAATGTCAAAGATATGTGTGAAGTCAACCCGCACTTGGTCAGCGTGGTTGACTATGGCCTTATCATCCTTAACTTAGGGTAGGCTCCGAGCCCCTCGGTGGGGACGTATAGTGAGCTGATGATGATGATGATGATATTAATATCGTCTATGCCTCAGCTATCGCAGAATTGCCCCTTATTTCCTTATAGATGTTTCTACGATGTAGTTGGAAATTTTTGACATACTGCATACCATGGCCACTGCTGCGATGTTTAGGTTTTTTTAAGGTCAAAGGTCAAAAATGAGATTTTCGCGTATTTCAGCAAAATGGTAAGTTTTGTCTAAAAAGTTACCTGAGACAAAATTGTAGATTTTATCATTATCAATTACAAACCCCTTTTTTCCAGAGAGGAATGCTTTATGCATACTCCGCGCCCCGGGGGGACGTGGTAGTTATGTGGGATTCTCCTCCATAACGGAGGCATACCCACTAAACCTCTCTGTTCCTCCAACGCATCGGGACGGGGCCACGGGTACGCTTTCGCTCTCGTCCGGTATTACAAACCCCTACATATCTTTTTTCGAATAGTAAAAAATGACATATTTTTCGCTCGTGCGCCTATGATTTGCTCCGCATCTAAAACTATCAGAAAACCCAAAAGGGGATACTTATTTTTTTTCTATTGTAGCGTATTTTTGTGGATTATCAAGTATTTTTAGGGTTCCGTACCTCATAGGAAAAAAACGGAACCTTATAGGATCACTTTGTTGTCCATCCGTCCGTCTGTCAAGACCCTTTTTCAAAAACGTGTGAAGGTGGAAGCTGGAATTTATATCAAATGTTCAAGTCTGCGGTCGCTAGGTGCTGTGAAAAAATAAAACTTCTTAACCAACCCAATAAAAAGATACAACCGTTTATGTCGCAAATTTACGCAAATTTTCGACATTCGCAATTGAATCAAAACCTACAGGGTACTTCCCGTGCACTTAGAATCTTGAAATTTGGTACGAAGCAACATCGTAAAGCACAGATAAAGGAAAAATTACGAAAACTGTAAATGTTAAGTTACAACATATAAACAAAATATTTTTCTAAGGGGACATATATGTGAGACTCGAGAAAATGCCCGGTACAATATTAGTTTTAAGGATTACGTCGCTTTGTGTACGAAAAGGCAATTTTTTTGCATAACAATGTCAACATAGCTCACACACGATATGTGCAATTGCGTCAGTCGATTGTAAAAATTTTATTGATGTCATAAAATTTTTTGTGGTACAAGTATAAAAGAAAGTAACATGCATATAAATGTGAATATCCAGATGGATATTAGAAGGTATCTCCAGAACATCTGCATGGATATCGATGAAACGACATAGTAGAACAATCTGGAACAACACATAGACTTATTAAGCACCGCACCGTTGAAGTTGATTTTGGTATGGATTCCATTTTCTTTATATCGTAACTAGCTGTCGCCCGCGACTACCTCCGCGTGGATATATAAAAAAAATAATATATAAATAAGTTAAAAAACTCTCTCTTCAAGGCATAAATTCGAATAAATAGTATCCTATGTCCGTCTCCTGGCTCTAAGCTACCTCCTCAACAATTTTCAGGCATATCGGTAAAGCCGTTCTTGAGTTATAAATAGTGTGACTAACAAGACTTTCTTTTATATATATAGATGCGGTAAGCGAACAAGCGGTCTCCTGAAATTGTCGAAATACAAAATTGACCGCGACCGTAGACATCTGCAATTGCAGATGCCTTCCCTTAGTCGACGGAGGAAGAGTCAACAACTTCTATATATATAAAAGAAAGTCGTGTTAGTTTCACTATTTATAACTCAAGAACGGCTTTACCGATATGACTGAAAATTGGTGAGGAGGTAGCTTAGAGCCAGGAGACGGACATAGGATACTATTCATTCATTTTTTTTCGAATTTACTTACTAATATTATAAATGCGAATGTTTAGATGGGTGTGATGTGGATGGATGGGTGGGCTACACTAATTAAGTTTATTTATATATCCACGCGGACGGAGTCGCGGGCGATAGCTAATAAGAAATAAAAATCATTCTCAAACACGAATTAAAAGTAAAAAAATAATGTCACCTTCCAAAGAAAGTTCGGAGTCCATGTCAACCGAAGTGCGAGTTACACTAATCTACCCTGACTGACATCATTTTATATCTGAAATGTCTTAACTAAGGCCTAGTTACGTTTCTATTTCTACCTAGTTACACTATAAAGAATATCATAGGAGTAGCGTATTAATTTAATTAATACTATTAGTCGCCCGCGACTCCGTCCGCGTGGATAAAAGAACTTAATTAGTGTAACCTATGTGTTCTTTCAGACTATGTTCTATACGTATGCCAAATTTAATCGAAATCCGTACTGTCGTTCTAGAGATATCTTCAAACACCCATCCATCCATCCACAATACACCCATCTAAACATTCGCATTTATTATATTAGCAAGCTCATTTTTTTCGAGCTGATGCCTTGAATAGCTTGTTTTTATTTAACTTACTAATATTATAAATGCGAATGTTTAGATGGATGTGATGTGGATGGATGGATGTGTGTTTGAATATATCTCTAGAACAGCTGAACGGATCTCGATTAAATTTGGCATACGTATAGAACATAGTCTGAAAGAACACATAGGTTACACTAATTAAGTTTAAGTAGTATTTAATAGAAAAAAAAACTTTAAATCGCTTCCTCTTATTAATTAAAACAAAAAAAACAACCTTGATAAAATAAAAACAGAATTAGTTTTAATATTTTAATTACATCTGTGTGCTTAAAGTGTGAGTTAAATTAATCCGTTCTGTATAATGAGTTCCGTATATATTTTTAAAGTTTTAAGCTGTTGAAAATCTTACTAATATTATAAATGCGAATGTTTAGATGGATGTTTGTTTGAATGTATCTCGAGAACGGCTCAATGGATCTCGATGAAATTTATCATAGATGTAGAACATAGTCTGGAAGAACACATAGACTACTCGCTAATTTTTTTTTATTCTTTTTATATAGTCTATGTCGTCCGGGGATAGTATAGCTTCCCAACTGTGAAATAAATTTACCAAATCGATTAAGTAGTTTCAGAGTGTATTCAATGTTAACAAACGTATAACTTTTATTACTGTTCATGACTGTTTTATAATAGTCAAATGGCGAGATTCGAACTCACATTGCGTCACGGAGGCCTTATTTAGTCCTCTTTCCCTTCCCACCCTTTCTCTTATAAGGAAAGGATGTTAAATTATTCAAACTTTCGTGAGACATTATACTAAACTGATATATAAACACGGCTAAACACTCACGTATATCCGTCCGGTGGCGGCGGGCCGCGTCCGCGAAATAATACCAGTACCACTCATCCTGATGAAGGGCCCCCGATGGGTTCGAAACTAGTCGGTGCCGCCACCGGACGTATATACATGAGTGTTTAGCCGTGTTTATATATCAGTTAAGGAAAGGATGGGAAGTGGAAGTAGACTTTCCGGATGAGAGGATGCATGGAAAGGGAAAATATTTTCTTTCTGTACATCCTCTCTTCCGTCGATTAAAGGTAGGCAAAAAAAACAACCAAATGATCAGAAATCCGTACCTTTAACCATTAGGCTATTGGCGCTTATACTATAGAATATTTATTAAGTTTTTTTAAAAGCGCGGATGAAGTCGTGGACGACAGCTATTAGCTAGACAATCTGTGAACGAAATTTCATTGAGGAACAGATGTACAGACAGAATTACTTTCGCATTTATATTAGTAAGTATACTAGTAAAGATTAGTAAAGATTGTTCCCTTGGTAACATAAATGGCATTAAATGGTTTTTTTTAATGTTTTTACGGATCCCTAAAATAACACTTTTTCATGGGATACATAAATAAAATATTTATAATTTCATACGAAACAACGTAATTCTGAAACATTTAACTTTATATTAACGGAATGGAAACTAACAAATATTCAGAAATTAAGTGCAAAGATGATATTCATTGGAAATATTTCTTTAAACAGGTATATCTTTATCTTATATATATAAAGAAATTCGTGTTAGTTACACTATTTATAACTCAAGAACGTCTTTACCGATATGCCTGAAAATTGTTGAGGAGGTAGCTTAGAGCATGGAGACGGACATAGGATACTATTTATTCATTTTCGAATTTATGCCTTGTAGAGCTGGTTTTTATCTAACTTACTAATATTTAAAATGCGAATGTTTAGATGGATGTGATGTGGATGGATGGGTGTTTGAAGATATCTCTAGAACAGCTGAACGGATGTCGATTAAATTTGGCATACGTATAGAACATAGTCTGAAAGAACACATAGGCTACAATAATTAAGATTTTTTATCCACGCGGACGGAGTCGCGGGCGACTACTAGTAATATTGTAATTGCGAATGTTTAGATGTTTGTTAGAAGATATCTCTAGAACGACTCAATGGATCCGATTGAAATTTGTCATAGATGTAGAACATAGTCTGGAACAACACATAGGCTACTAATTATTTTTAAATTTACGCAGACGGCGACACAGGTGTCAACTAGTTTATAATAATGAATTAACTGTCACGTAACATTAACTGAGGCGTTTAAATCGGAACGAAGCGATGTCATTTCCAAGAAATAACCAAATAGAGATCGAAAACCTTATTGCATAAGTAAGAGAGATTTGCTACGATCGTGTCTGTTAATTAATTAATAACTCGGTTGATTAATAGAATTTAACAGTGGTAGAGCCCGCTTTAACATGTTCGCACGAATTGTCCTCGCTCAGTGAAATACCACGAGCACACAGAAGACACGTCAAGTGCGAAGTAATTCCAACTACAGTCTGATGAGTGTGCGTCCCTGAGGCCTAATTTAGTCCACTTTCCCTTCCCACCTTTTTTCTTATAAGGAAATGATGGGAAGTGGAAGTGGACTTTCCAGATGAGAGGATGCATGGAAAGGGAATATATTTTCTTTCTGTGCATCCTCTCCTCCGTGGATTAAAGTTAGGCAACGCATATTCAATTGCGTATGTCTATGGGCAACAGTCACTTCGCTATATCAGCGATTTCAGGTGGCCGCTCGTTCGTTTGTTACATTATAATATAAAAAAAAGATATATTAATAACTCAGTTGATTTCTTTTTTTTGTCTTCCAGCTTTTCGTATGCAGCGGTGCGTGGGCATTCTTTTTCGTCTTAGGTTTGAATCTTGGAGCCCCCACTGTTTATATTCCCCAGCTCAGACGTGAATCTAACAATACTGTAGTCAGCGATGAAATGGCCTCATGGTTATGTAAGTTATATTAAAAAGATTAATTGATTTTTTATTATTATGCTGTAGTTTGCTCAAAACTATCATCATCAGCTCACTATATGTCCCCACCGAGAGGTTCGGAGCCTGGTCAGCGTGGTTAACTAGGCCATAGTCAACCACGCTGACCAAGTGCGGGTTGACTTCACACATATCTTTGTATTTCTCAGATATGTGCAGCATCAAGATGTTTTCCTTCACCGTAAGAACGTCGGATAAATGTACATATGTAAAAACACAATGGTACATGGCGGGATTCGAACCCAGAACCTGCCGATTGAAAGTCAAGTGCTTGACTCCTGAGCCACCAACGCTCTGCACAAAACGATGCTCCCTAATAATTTTGTAGATGGAATGATATTTGTCAGATTATAAGTGGGACACCGCAAATTGCCCTGACTGTACATGTCTCTGAAGTCTTATGGTTCATTGTAATAGTAATTAAAAAGCGTCTGTGACTCAGAGGTTAAGCTGAGACCTGTTATCAAGTCCTGGGTTCGATTCCCGCCATATATCAATGTGTTTTATATATGTACATCTATCGTATGTTGTTACGGTGAAGGAAAACATCGTGATGCTGCACATATCTGAAAAAGTCAAATGTGTGAAGTGTTGCACTGGACCAGCATTCACTATCACATACTCTCACTTAGGATAGGCTTAGGGACCCTAAGTGGAGACGTATCATACTAATATTATAAATGCGAATGTTTAGATGGATGTTTGTTTGAAGATATCTCCGCAACGGCTTAACAGATTTTGATGAAATTTGGCACAGATGTAGAACATAGTGTGGAAGAACATATGAGCTTATTAAGTTTTATAATAATACCACGCGGACGGAGTCGTGGGCAACAGTTAGTACAGTGTATATTTAGTTAATTGTTTTTCTTTACAGGTTCAGCATCAGGATTTTCTGCAATACCCTGTTTATTTATAATAACATTTCTCACAAAATATTACGGTCGTAAGGTAATATTTATCATTGGTAATATAGATTTATTGATATCTTTATTAATATTCTATTTCAGTAAAACTCCTATACAAATATTAATCAGTCATATTACCATTGGTTTTGGTTACGCTGCATGTTTTAGTAATAATATATTAATAGTTACCGAATATATTAATCCTAAATATCGCGGTGTATTCTTAGCGGTGAAATCGACGTCCGTCGTGTCCGGTGTCTGGGCAGCGAATGCTATCGGTACATTTTTAAATTGGAGGTACATACCTATTTTTGGTTTGTTGTTAACTTGTTTCGCGTTCACATCATTCTTTTGGCCTGAATCACCATATTGGTTGGTAAATAAAGGGCGATTTGATGAATTTAAGAAATCATACATTTGGTTAAACGGGACCAGTAATAATGTGTTAAAAGAAATCGATAATTTAATTGTTTACGAAAGACATAATGTTAAATGTAAATTAAATTTTAATACAATTAAAATGGTGGAGTTTTATAAACCTATTTTAATATCATTTCTACTTATGATACAATATCATTGTTCTGGGAAATTTATTTTTAGTATTTACGCTTTGGATATTATAAAAAAAATAACAAACAGTGAAACAACCGCGTATACAGGAATGTTAATATTAGATGGAATAACTATATTAGGTATGTATACAGGGTGTTTTTTATCTAAAATATTAAAAAGACGTATTTTATATTTATGGTCTTCGGCTATTGGAATTTTCTTTTTATTAGTTACATCTTTATATTTATTTTTATGTAAAAATTATTATATACAAGAGAATAAAGTTTTATCAATTTTATTATTAAGTTCTTTTTCCATTTCAATTAGTTGTGGTCCGATGATACTTAGTACGTCTATTCATGGTGAGATTTTACCTTCCAGATTTAAATCTTTAGGAGTTATTTTAACCGCTTTATTGTTTTATATGTTATTATCGACAACGTTAAAAATAGCGCCCGTTATTTTTAAATTAATGGGTCTAGATGGAGCTTTCCTTTTTTATGGTATATCGTCAGGTTTTTGCTTTATATTGTTAGTTAAATATTTACCTGAGACAAAAGATAAAACATTACAAGAAATTGAAGAGTTATTTAAACGTAAAGGAAATGTAATAGAATTAGAAAAGTTACAAAAATAAATAATTAAAAATGTAGACCAAACAGCTGTCGTTCGCGATACCGTCCGCAAATAATTAAAAAAAAACTTAATTAGTAGTCTATGTGTTTTTCCAGACTATGTTCTATATGTATGACAAATTACATCTAGATCCGTTCAGCTGTTCTGGAGATATCTTCTTACAAACATCCATCTAAACATTCGCATCTACATATAAAAGAATGTCGTGTTAGTTACACTATTTATAACTCAAGAACGGCTTTACCGATATGACTGAAAATTGGTGAGGAGGTAGCTTAGAGCCAGGAGGTTATGCCTTAACGAGCTGCTTTTTATTTAACTTACTAATATAAATGCGAATGTTTAGATGGATGTGATGTGGATGGATGGATGTTTGAAGATATCTCTAGAACAGCTGAACGGATCTCGATTAAATTTGGCATACGCATAGAACATAGTCTGAAAGAACACATAGGATACACTAATTAAGTTTTTTTGTATATCCATACGGACGGAGTCGCGGGCGACTGCTAGTTTATAATATTAGTTTTAAACATAGTTTATGACCTATTTTTGTAGTTTTTTCGACCTCTCCCTCCCCTCAGTGACCACTCGCACTACATGCTAAGACCCCCCTTTAGTTTTTATGTAATAATTCATAATTATGATTTTTAATCATTTAACAGATAAAAATTGAAAGAGAAATAATTTGTCTCATACTCTTCTTTATAGCATAAGACTGTATGCATACTTAAATTACTAGTGAATTATGTATTATGAAAAATAACAAGTAACGACTACGTGACTAAAATCTGACTCCCCCCACTCCTGTGACTGACCGTAGTATTTTAATGACTCCCCCCCTCCTAAACGTGTCACGTATTATGTGTACGTTCCCTTAATACATAAAACCATTTATTTCATTATCTATAATTAATTTGATTGCTGTAAAAAATCCTAATATTAAATACATTATTCCATCATTAATGTAACTTCAAATTGCTGTTCCAAATTAAACCTTGACATAAAAACATAACGGTTTTTTATTACTATATCCTTGACATGTTAAACGCCACTCAAGTCACCGGTGACCGGATCCCTTAAGCGCCGCGTAGGGCACATAACTCACGAAGTTTTTATAATCTGCGGAACCCAGCTTCTAATTGAACCCTAAATCTATATATATAAAAGAAAGTGGTGTTAGTTACACTATTAACTCGAGAACAGCTTTACAGATATGCCTGAAAATTGGTGAGGAGGTAGCTTAGAGCCGGGAGGCGGACATAAGATACTATTTATTTATTTTTTTAAATATGTAAATACGAGTGTTTAGATAGATGTGATGTGGACGGATGGATGGGTGTTTGAAGATATCTCTAGAACGGCTGAACGGATCTCGATTAAACTTGGCATACGTATAGAACATAGTCCGAAAGAACACATAGGCTACACTAATTAAGTTTAATTATATAATATAACCACGCGGACGGAGTCGCGGGCGACAGTTAGTTGGATATATTTTGCAGATTCGACTTGCAAAAAGTTTTATAGTGTTTTTTTTCTATTTCTACTATTAAATTCTACCTTTTAATAATATTAGTATAACTAGCTGTCGCCCGCGACTCCGTCTGTGCGGAATTAAAAATAATCTTTCTACATCTATGCCAAAGTGCCATTAGTTTAGCCGTTCCGGAGATATCTACAAAAGAACATACATCCAAACATTCCCATTTATAATATTAGTAAGATTTATTCAAATTAAAGTAGTTTCCTTTACACGCGTGTAATAATTACGATTAACTATTAATGCATTTGTCTGAATATTTAACAAATAGCACAGTATATTGTTGTTAGTTCGATCTATCAGTGATGTGGTCGTTTCTAGTGTTTTTAGTGACATTGTCACTTGCATCTGCAGTTATATATGACACCTTTAGTGGTCGTGAAGTGGGTGTACAACGACCCATGAGCAATTCTACACAAGATTTATTAAATGGCTTAAGTTTATTCTATCAAATAAGGCCGTAAGTATTTATTTTTTATATAACAGTGGTCTACCGCTTTAACATGTTCGCACGAATTGTTCTCGCGCGGTGAACTACGACCACACAGAAGACACGCCTCAAGTGGAAGCAATTACAACTGCAGTCTGATGAGTGTGCGTGTCGGAGACCTAACATACTCCTCTTTCTTATAAGGAAAAGATTGGAAAGTGAAAGTGGACTTTCCGGATGAGAGGATGCATGGAAAGGGAAAATATTTTCTTTCTGTGCATCCTCTCCTCCGTCGATTAAAGGTAGGCAACGCATATGCAATTGCGTATGTCTATGGGCAACGGTCACTTCGCTATTTCATCGATTTCAGGTGACCGCTCGCTCGTTTGCCACCTTATGATATAAAAAAATACTTTTATTCTATTCAATTTTAATAATAATAAAAATATAGCTGTTGCCCGAGACTCCATCCGCGCGGTAGCTTATGTGTTCTTGCAGACTATGTTCTACATCTATGACAAATGCCATCAAAATCAGTTGAGCAGTTCCGGAGATAACTACAAACAAACATCCATCTAAACATACGCATTTATAATAAATAAGATATATTTATGTCAAAGGGATGCAAAAGATTTCATGGTTTTTGATGATATTTTGACCAGAAGTTGGCGTATTTCAACATAAAAAAGTTTGCTAACGTACATTTACACAGTCGAATCAATTTAAACCATAAAGTTCCACAATTATCAATTATTTTCCAGATGGTGTACCATAGATGTACCAGAATGTTCACCCTACGAGCCTCGACGTGTAGATGGTACTTGCAACAACCTACACTATCCCACAAGAGGGGCGACTTTCACCCCTTACCATCGTTTACTACCTTCCAACAACGCGATGAACGGGGGCCTTAGAACTTCCATAACTGGACTACCACTTCCAAATGCTAGAAAACTTCGTGTATCATTATTATCTGATGGAAGGGTCCACAATAAACATTACACACAGCTGGTGACAAATCATCTTCTAATGATGACAGGTGATATCACATCAGCCCATGACACTATCAACTATATACTAGTGACAACTAGTTGTTGCTTTACTGAAGGTTTAAACCCTACTTGTATGCCTATTAACGTACCATCAAATGATGTACACTTGCGAGAAAGTGGGATACGATGTCTTAATTTGACTAGAGCGTTGACATATCAGAGATTAGGATGTGCCCCGAATACACTGCCACCTGAAAGAGTGAGTACTTATATTACCAAGAGAACCTTATACATCCCCACAGAGGGACTCAGAGTCTACCCTAAGTGAGACTACGTGATAGTGAATGCTGGTCCAGTGCAAGACTTCACACATATCTTTGACTTTCTCAGATATGTGCAGCATCACGATGTTTTCCTTCACCCTATACTATTAAACTATGTTTACAGTTTGGCCTTTAGCACAATAATTTAAATTTATTAACTAGCTGTCCGCAACGCAACTCCGTCTGTGTGGTATTATACATAATTAGTGGCATATGTGCTCTTCCAGACTATGTCCTACTATGACAAATTTCATCGAGATCTATGCAGCCGCTCTGGAGATACCTTTAACAAACATCTATATAAACATTCGCGTTTGTAATATTAGAAAGAAGTAAGGTAATAACAAAATAGAGATATTCGAGAGTTTATAGCACCGTTTTCTAGTAATAAGTATTGGGAAAAGGTACAAGGACTGGAATTGCCCTACGGAATAGTAATCAGAGAGCCTAGCATGAATATACCCTTACCAGGCGTAAAGTACAGCAACAATCCGTCAATAGCCTAATGGTTAAAGGTTCCGATTTCCGATCATGAGGTCGTGGGTTCGAATCCCGACATTCGACCATTGTAAACCATATCCTAGCACAAGCATAGAGCTTATTTGGAATGGTATGAAATATTAATAAATTTACAAAACAATCTGCTTGTATTAAAAAAAAAAACAAAACGTATTAATTACTAGGCCCTTATATAGAAAGCAATTTAGTTTTTACGAGTTTGCTGCATGTTGGAAACTATCGCTGACCCAAAACTAATTCCAGATCAACACATCACCTCCTCTTTTGGACATTTCAAATATGTACGGTATCAATTCGATTGGAGTAAATCAGTCACGACTCGGAACTGATGGATTATTACGCTTCGAAGTTGACAAAGGGAAAGAATGGCCGCCAACTGGAGCTCCTATTTGCTTAGCTAATGAGTTACCTCAAGAAACTTATTGCTATAACGGTGGTATGTAACGTATTAAGGTCAATAATTAATCTGGACCATTCTTATCCACAGTAATTTTACCTGACTTATATCATGAGGTGGTAAACGAGCGAGCGGCCACCTGAAATAGCTGAAATAGAGAAGTGACCGTTGCCCATAGAGATACGCAATCGCATATGCGTTCCCTACCTTTAATCGACGGAGGAGAGGATGCACAGAAAATAAATATCTTCCCTTCCCTTGCATCCTCTCATCCGGAAAGTCCACTTCCACTTCCACGTCCACAAAGAGGACTAAAATAGGCCTCCGGGACGCACACTCATCAGACGAAACGCAGAATTTCTTCCACTTCACGCCTGTCTTCTATGTGGTCGTGGTATTTCACCGGGCGAGCCGGGCCGATTCATGCGAAGATGTTAAAGCGGTCTCTACCACTGTTAAAACTGTTCTGCGCAGCGACTCTCGCGTCATTAAAAGCTATGACAATTCTGATAAAGTCATGCGTTTGATAAAATCTGTGTTCCTAATATTTATTCCCCAGGTAATCCTGGCTTGAATGCCCCTCTTGGTATCCAATTAGTCGGCTTATGGCACTTTCGAAGTCATAATCATATCGCCAGAATCCTAGCTCAGTTAAATCCGTGTTGGGGCGACGAGCGTATCTTTTTAACAGCTCGCGATATTAATTTGGCGTTTTACCAACATATAATATACTATGAGCTGATGCCTGAAGTATTAGGTATGTATTGTTATGAAGAAAATCCCATGTGCCGGTGTGACGCAACACTAGCCTTACTAAAATGTCAACGTTTATGTCCCCTCACTACATCTGACACTTGACTTGGTAATGAAAGCGCGACAATCGCACCAAAATATGTAATTAATGATTTCAAAAAGTATTACTAAAAGAGTTCCACATACATTACAGAAAGTCCACTTCCACTTCCCATCTTTTCCTTATAAGAAAAAGAGTGGGAAGGAAAAGAGGACTAAATTAGGCCTTCGGGACGCACACTCATCAGACTGCACGCGGAATTGCTTCGCACTTGAGGCGTGTCTTCTGTGTGGTCGTGGTATTTCACTGAGCGAGGACAATTCGTGCGAAGATGTTAAAGCGGGCTCTACCACTGTTATTGTTTATTTCTAGGTTATGATTTATTATTAAAGAATAAAGTAATTTTCGATACATACGGTCACGTGGATGATTATGATGATTCCTTAGAGCCTCGAGTCAGCATCGAATATGTTATAGCAACAAGATGGTTCCACACAATGCAAGAAGGAAGACTACAGTAAGTTGAATGTCTATTTAAACTGACTAACATCAATTACTTCTCATTCTCTCTCTCTCTCAAGGTGCCTCTCCATTTAATGGAGGTTGGCCATCAGCTCAGTAAACTTTCGCCGATCTTGTGCCAAGCGAAATAAATTTTCCACGCTGGATTCGTCCATTCCTTGATATTATGCAACCACGATTTCCTCCTTCAGTTCAGTTACTTAGTTATAAGTAGCGGTCTCCCGCGACTCCGTCCGCGTGGAATTAAAAAACAATTGGTAGTATATGTGTTCTTCCAGACTATATTCTACATGTATGCCAAATTTCATCGGAATCTGTTCAACCGTTCTGGAGATACCTTCTAACAAACATCCATCTATCTATCCATTCATCCATCTAAACATTTGCATTCACAATATTATTAAGATGTGTTGTATGTTGGATGTTTTTTTGAAGGTATCTCCGAAACATAATTTGGCACACATATAGAACATAAAGGAAGAACACATAGGCTACTCATTTTGTTTTTTTTTATTCCGCTCGAGCGGAGTCCTGGACGACAGCTTATATTCAATAAAATGTTGTATTCACACAAAATATACTTAAGTAAGACCCCTTACTCGCGATGTTTTAGTAACTTTTTGCCCCCTGAAGTATAAGACTATGGACTCTATGACTGTGGATTTTTTATAGAAGGCTCAAATATGTCAAATTTTGCTTTGCTTTTTTAGGCTATTCGATAGCCAAGGTAAATTCCTCAACGAGTTAGATATGATGGATTACACGCTCCGTACGGGAGCGCTGCGCGTCAACAATACTGTGGATGGAGTGACACAAGGCTCCTTCAGACAACCCTGCGCTGGCAGCGACCTATTCGTTGACCCTGAGGTAATGTTCATCATCATCATCACTATACGTCCCCACTGAGGGTCTCGGAACCCTAAGTGAGACTATGTGATAGTGAATGCTGGTCCAATGCAGGACTTCACGCATATCTTTGACTTTCACAGATATGTGTAGCATCACGATGTTTTCCTTCACCGTAAGAAACTATCAAATACCCCTCATCCGGAAAGTCCACTTCCACTTCCCATCCTTTCCTTATAAGAAAAAGGGTGTCAGGGGAATTAGGCTTCCGGGACGCATACTCATCAGACTGTAGTTGGAATAGCTTCCACTTGAGATGTGTCTTCTGTGTGGTCATGGTATGTCACCGGAGGAGCCGAGACAATTCGTGCAAAGATGTTAAAGCGGGCTCTAAATCATATCCAAATTTCTATCAATGCTTCTTAATAGAACAGAACAGAATAGAATACTGTATATTTGTTCTTGTAGGTAGGAGAACGTATCCTAGGCCCATTACAGCAAGCATCTGATGTCTCCAGCAGTGATATAATGAAAAGTCGTGATGTAGGTCTACCTTCCTACAATAGGTACCGTCAGCTCTGCAGTTTGCCTGTAGCTAAGACCTTTGATGACCTATACCATTGGATGCCTAAAGATGTTAGTATAAAATTACAGTTAGTTAATACAGCTCTTCCTAGATAGGCTCATTGCTTTTATCTGATGAAGTTCTTCACCGTCAAATCTCTATCTTACTAATATAATAAATGCAAAAGTTTAGATGTATGTTTGTTAGAAGGTATCTCCGGAACAGCTGCATAGATCTTGACGAAATATGTCATAGATGTAGAACATAGTCTGGAAGAACACAGCTTCTTACTGAGTTTTTTTTAATGCAGAATGTAAAACGAAATGGACAGCACCAAAATGGCGAAAATCAAATAGCCACAATATATTACGTCTTATAGCCTGTCCATAAAGTTCAGGTTTTAAAAATTATCATCATTTCCAGCAAGCAGACGTAATATCTCGCAGCTACGAGTCAATAGATGATGTGGATCTTTTAGCAGGAATAATGGTAGAAAGGAAACTACCAGGTGCAATGGTAGGTCCGACCCTGGCCTGCATCATGTTAGATCAGCTCATACGCTGGAGACAATCTGACAGATTCTGGTACGAGAATTCCATACATCCCGGAGCGTTTACACAAGGTTAGTTCTTAGAGGGCTTAACCTCCCTTAAGGGGGCTTAATACTTTTCTGGGCTTAAACCCCATTGAAATGTTACTGACGCAAAACTTAGAAGTCAAAAACACAACCAAAAGGATAATCTATACTAATAATATAAAGCAGAAGAGTTTGTTTGTTTGTTTGTTTAAACGCGCTAATCTCAGGAAGTACTGGTCCGATTTGTAAAATTATCTTTTTGTTGTATAGTCCAATTTTAGAGGAAGGCTTTAGGCTATATAACATTACGCTGCGACCAATAGATTTTTTTTAATTCCGTGCGGACGGAGTCGCGAGCGACAGCTTGTCTTTATATAAAAATCAATTGCTGTTCGTTTTTCTCGCTAAAACTCGAGAACGGCTGAACGGATTTATCTTATCCTGGTCTTGAAATGTTCGTGGAGGTCTAAGGAAGGTTTAAAGGGTGAGAAAAACTCGAATGATTGCCAGGAAAATTCTAAAAACAGCCATTTTTTCGCAAAAAAGTTGTGGCATAGATGTAGAACATAGTCTGGAAGAACACATAGGCTAATAACACTAGCGACAGCTAATTGTTTTGTTGTAGACCAACTATTTGAAATTAGAAAGATGACAATTGCTCGATTGATTTGTGATCACGGTGATTCAGTGGATTCAATACAACCGTGTGCCTTTATCCTACCCAATTCCAGGTACGTAGATATCATCATCTTCATCAGTTCTAAGTCCTCACTGTGGGTCTCAGAGTCTACCCTAAGTGAGACTATGTGATAGTGAATGCTGGTCCAGTGCAACACTTCACACATATCTTTCACTTTCTCAGATATGTGCAGCATCACGATGTTTTCCTTCATCGTAACATAAGATAAATGTACATATGTAAATCGAAAAACGAAAACATAGGTACATGTCGGGATTCGAACCCAAGACCTGCAGATAGCAAGTCAAGTGCTTGACTCCTGAGCCACCGACGCTCTGCAGCAGGTTTTTTTTTTATTTCATAAGGTGGCAAACGAGCGAGCGGCCACCTGAAATCGCTGAAATAGCGAAGAGACCGTTGCCCATAAACATACGCAATTGCATGCGTTGCCTACCTTTAATCGACGGAGGAGAGGATGCACAGAAAGAAAATATTTTCCCTTTCCATGCATTCTCTCATCCGGAAAGTCTACTTCCACTTCCCATCCTTTCCTTATAAGAAAAAGGGTGGGAAGGGAAAGAGGCCTCAACTTAGGTCTCCGGGACGCACACTTATCAGACTGTAGTTGGAATTGCTTCAACTTGAGGCGTGTCTTCTGTGTGCTCGTGGTATTTCACTGAGCGAGGACAATTCATGCAGATGTTAAAGCGAGCTCTACCACTGTTAAACTTTGATAAACTGTCTTTTATAGGAATGAAATAACAAATTGTTCCAATATTCCATCCATCAATTGGGAAGTTTGGCGAGATCAAAAATGTAATAATCCTCAAAATACTACAAGCTCTCAGTTGGATACAACACAGAAGGCGTTTTGAAATAAATATAATTTATAATTTTATTTGGTTTTTATTTATGTAGCAGTCGTACGCGACTCTGTCCCCGTAGAGTTAAACAAACTTAAGTAATCTATGTGTTCTTCCAGACTATGTTCTATATGTATGACAAATTTCATCGAGATCTATTCAGCAGTTCTAGAGATATCTTTTAACAAACATCTAAACATTTGCATCTTTATATAAAAGAAAGTGGTGTTAGTTACACTATCTATAACTCCAGAACGGCTTTACCGATATGACTGAAAAAAATTGAGGAGGTAGTTTAGAGCCAGGAGACGGACATAGGATACTATTTATTCATTTTTTAATTTTTTTTTCCAATTTATGCCTTGTAGTGCTGCTTTTTATTTAACTTACTAATATTATAAATGCGAATGTTTAAATGGATGTGGTGTGGATGTATGGATGGGTGGGCTACACTAATAAAGTTTTTTATATATCCACGCGGACGGAGTCGCGAGCGACAGCTAGTTTATAATCTTAGTAAGATACTTAGTAATTTCATATTACACACTAGAACATAGTATTTTGTGCATATTTGATTTTCGCCATTTTGGTACTGATTACAGCGATTTGTAGCGGTGATTTCGAACCAATAATATAGATAGAATTAAGTCATATAATATTAACAGCGAACTTCAAAATTCTATGGAACTGTGTCGCGACAATCACTTGACTTATCCAAAGTTATTGTCTGGTACATTTTTGAAATTGAAGAATGCATTTTGACTAACCGAGGAAGCGCGTTTAAATCGTAACATAGTTAAGCTAATTCCAAGCAATCCTATTGAGCGTCGGTGGCTCAGGGGTCAAGCACTTGACTTGTAATCTGCAGGTCCTGGGTTCGAATCCAGCCATGTACCAATTGTTTTTCGATTTCCGATTCACATATGTACATTTATCCTATGTTCTTACGTTGAAGGAAAACATCGTGAAGCTGTGCACATATCTGAGAAAGTCAAAGACATGTGTGAAGTCAACCCGCACTTGGCCAGCGTGGTTGACTATGGCCTAATCACCTTTAACTTATGTAGGCTCTGAGCTCATCGGTGGGGGCGTATAGTGAGCTGATGATGCAAGGAATCGTCTTTGACAAAAAAAACTTAAGAAAGTTAAAACATGAACGAATTATAATTAAAGTTCGTACCAACCACGAGTAGTCTTCAAAATAACATGAAGATAATTTAGCTATTCATTTAATCGACGAATTTTAACTGGATTTAACCTAAAATCTAAGCAATTATCAAACAATATATGATAATGCATTTAACTGCTTCTTTTAACTTGAACCTTGACTTACTAACTTAACCGTCTTTCACTTAACTACGCCTTGATCTAGATAAAAAAATACGAACAAAAAATATTTGAAGCGCACAAGATTCAAAGTGCAGACATCCGAACAGCGTCTACACCAAAATATAAATAAAATAACAGTTTACAATTTGCTACCAGTTTATATGTCTAGTTACATTGTAAATATTTATAATCATACTAGCTGTCGCCCGCGACTCCGTCCGCGCGGGATTATAAAATAGATGTTGTCCGATTCTCAGAGCTACTCAATATGCTCTCAAAATTTCATGAGAATCGGTCAAGCCGTTTCCGAGGAGTATGGGAACGTAAATTGTGACACGAGAATTTTATATATAAGACTAGATGTCGCATGCGACTCCATCCGTGCAGAATTAATTTAAAATACTAAACTATGTGTTCTTCCAGACTATGTTCTACATCTATGCCAATCATCAAAACCAGTAAAGGCGTTCTGCAGACCTTTTACATCAATCCATCCATCTATTTCTGCGCAGTGTTACTTTCGTGAAATACTCATCAATCTTTTTAATAAACGAGCAAGCAGCCATCTTAATTCGCCAAAGCATCGCAACGAATTGGCCATAGACACGCGCATTTGCAGATTTATTGCCTCCGTCCGCGTGGATATATAAAAAAAACTTAATATATAGATAAGTTAAGTAAAAAGCAGCTCTTCAAGGCATAAATTCGAATAAATAGTATCCTATGTCCGTCTCCTGGCTCTAAGCTACCTCCTCAACAATTTTCAGGCATATCGGTAAAGCCGTTTTTGAGTTATAAATAGTGTAACTAACACAACTTTCTTTTATATATATATAGATGTGAATGTTTAGATGTATGTTTGTTTGAAAGTATCTCTAGAAAGACTGAACAGATCGCGATGTTATTTGACATACATATAGAACGTAGTCTTGAAGAACACATAGTCTACTAATTATGTTTTTTTTTCTCTGCCCGACTAAATAGAAGAGGGGTACAAGGGATATTTGACCTACCTATACATCTGTTTCTGTGCCAGAAATATAATCGTTTAATATCAAACTAAATAACATAAATAATTCGGAAAATTACCAAACATCATCCTTCGTTTAACACGATAACCAATTAATAATTAATAACTTAAATCCGTTAAGTAAACGTAACTTAACTCAGTAGTAACTTAAATTTGTTCACAATGGATTGGTTTTTCGTGTTTTTATTGATGCTGTCGAAAGCATCGTGTATTATTTATGACACATTTTCTGGTAGACAATTGGTTACATCAAAACCAATGAGAAACGCGTCTGTTGTTTTGACAAATGATATGTTATTCTATTTCTCTATGAGACCGTAAGTACTTTTAATTCTACACTACTTGACCACGAAATTAATAGTCTATTTGTTCTTCCAGACTATGTTCTATATGTATGCCAAATTACATTAAGATTCATGCAGCCGTTCTGGAGGTACCTTCTAACTAACATCCATCTAAACCAGTCTTTCCCAAAGTGGGCGATAACGCCCCTTTGTTGGCGCTGCAGGTCTCAAGTTGCGGGTTATAGTAAAAGTTTCGTTTAGAATTCTCCGTTAATATACATATATAGGTCACAATAATTAATTTAATTTAATTTAAAGTTATAGAGTGGTTTTTAAATATGTGAAAATATGGCAGCGCTAAAAAAATATTTATTCTCAAACTTGGCAATAGACAAAATAAGTTTGGAAACCACTGATCTAAACATTCGCATTTATAATATTAGTAATTATTTTATTTTCAGTTGGTGTACCCTCGATATACCTGAATGTTCACCATACGAGCCAAGAAGGGTTGATGGTTCATGCAACAATTTGCGCTACCCTTCCCGAGGGGCGACATACACGCCTTATCATCGAATGTTACCATCAAATCATGCTATTAACGGTGGCCTTAGAACTTCCATCACTGGTGTACCTTTACCTAACTCAAGGAACTTACGCGTTAATTTATTATCAGATGGCAGAGTACATAATAAAAAATATACCCAACTAATAACATACCTATTATTAATAATGACAGGGGATGTGACATCAGTTCACGATACAGTAAATTATGTCATCTTTACCACTACATGTTGTACGTTACGTGAATTAAATCCAATGTGCCTTCCAATAGATGTACAAAATGATGATCTTCATTTAAGATACAGTGATATAAGATGCTTGAATTTAACAAGAGCTATAACATATCAGAGAATAGGATGTGCTCCTGAGATATTGCCTCCAGAAAGGGTAAATATTATAATCATCATCAGCTCACTATACGTCCCTACAGAGGGTCTCAGAGTCTACCCTAAGTGAGATTATGTGATAGTGAATGCTGGTCCAGTGCAAGACTTCACACATTTGACTTTAGATATGTGCAGCATCACGATGTTTTCCTTCACCGTAATATTAAATAAATGTACATATGTAAATCGAAAAACTTGACCGAGCTTGACCCCTGAGCTACCGACGATATTTATACTGTTATGAAGAAAATCCGATGTGCCGGTGTGACGCAACACTAGCCTTACTAAAATGTCAACGTTTATGTCCCCTCACTAATCATTCTGACATTTGACTTGGTAAAAAAAGCGCGCCATTCACGCCAAAGGATTCTAACTAACATCTTAAAATAGTAATTAATAAAGTTATTATAGATTTTAATAAAACCTGAAAATACGATGGATAACGCCATCTATTGTTTGCATTTTGAAACATGTAATTAAAACAAAACTTAACGTAACTAATCTTACTAATATTATAAATGCGAATGTTAAGATGTATGTTGGAAGATATCTCCGGAACTGCTGTATGGATCTCGGTGAAATTTGTCATACATATAGAACATAGTCTGGAAGAACACATAGACTACTAATTAAGTTATTTTAATTACGGGCGGAAGTTGTGGGCGACATTTAGTTTAAAAATAATTCTATTTCTAGATAAACACTTCACCTCCAATGTTAGATTTATCTAACGTGTACGGCAACGATCAGACCAGTGTAGAGCAATCCCGAGAAAGATCTGGTGGCCTTCTTCGCTCAGAATTCGTTAAAGGCAAAGAATGGCCGCCAGATGGCAGTGTTTTCTGTATGCTTAATCAACGTCCTCAAGAGAGTTACTGTTATAATGCTGGTAAGTAACATTAGACCATAGATTTTTTTTTCCTAGACTAATATAACAGTGGTAGAGTCCGCTTTAACATCTTCGCATGAATTGTTAAAGCGGTACAGAAGTTTGTGGTTTGTGTATTTTTTTTATATATCATAAGGTGACAAACGAGCGGTCACATGAAATCGCGGAAATAGCGAAGTGACCGTTGCCCATAGACATACCCAATTGCATATGCGTTGCCTACCTTTAATCGACGGAGGAGAGGATGCACAGAAAGAAAATATCTTCCCTTTCCATGCATCCTCTCATCCGGAAAGTCCACTTCCACTTCCCATCCTTTCCCTATAAGATAAATAGTGGGAAGAGAAACAGGACTAAATTAAGTCTCCGGGACGCACACCCATCAGACTGTAGTTAGAATTACTTCGCACTTGAGGCCTGTTTTCTGTATGGTCGTGGTATTTCACTGAGCGAGTCGAAAAAAATCGTGTAAAGATGTTAAAGCGGGCTCTACCACTATTAAAATTTTGTTCCTATTTGATTTGATTATATTAACAGTTTGCTCTTATAAAAACTGTCTGTACGTTTCACAGGTAACCCAGCTATGAACGCTTTAATTGGCATCCAAGTGGTTGGTCTATGGTTTTTTAGAAGTCACAATCAGATTGCCAAGACTCTCGCACAGTTGAACCCATGTTGGGGTGACGATCGTCTTTTTACTACGGCTAGAGATATTAATTTGGCTTTCTATCAACATATAGTTTATTACGAGTTAATGCCTGCTATTATAGGTATGTAATCAGTAAAATATGCAATGAAAATAATTAAGGTTCATTTTTAGACGTTATTAGTGAGAAACATCTTCATCAGGTCAGTATAAATCCCCAATGAGGGTAGAGTCTACCCTAAGTGATATGTGATAGTGAATGCTGGTCCGGTGCGAGACTTCACACATTTGACTTTCTCAGATATGGTGCATCACGATGTTTTCCTTCATCGTAACATAAGATAAATGTACATATGTAAAAACACATTGGTACATGACGGGATTCCAACCCACGATATGCAGATTACAAGTCAAGTGCTTAAACCCCCGAGCCATTGACGCTCGATTTCTCCTTAAAAAGCCATAAAGCGCTAGGACCCAACGGTCCAAGGGTCTCGACAACGAATGCGACAAAATCATATTCGAAGCCTAGACCCTTGTATTTGCTTGCTTTAGTTTCAATCTAACACTTCTTTTTCCAAACAATGACATTAACCATAGACATTGTTAAGTAAAGAGTTACTCTATGGTCGGCACAGATTAGTCTACCAAAGAGGAAACTGACCATTGAGAATCTTTGCCTTTTTTTTAATATTAGCAGATTTTCGTAAATTTACTAATATTTCTTTTACCATTAAATTATTCAAACTTTCGTGAGACATTATACTAAACTGATATATAAACAAGGCTAAACACTCATGTATATACGTCCGGTGGCGGCACCGACTTGTTTCGAGCCCATCGGGCGCCCTTCATCAGGATGAGTGATACTGGTGAGCTCAGTGAGCTGAGGGCCGCGTCCGCGAAATAATACCAGTACCACTCATCCTGATGACTGACTGGCTCGAAACTAGTCGGTGGCCACCGGACGAATATACGTGTTTAGTCGTGTTTATATATCATTTCTTTTACCATTCCAACAAAGCTCTATGCTTGTGCTAGGATATGGTTTACAATAGTCGAATGTCGGGATTCGAACTGTCGATCACGTGATCGGAAATCCGTACCCTTAACTATTAGGCTATTGACGCTTAATTAAAGAAAAATTATTAAATTTTGAAATGTAATTTACATAAAATTAGTAACTTGATTAAAAGATATGCTATATTACAGGTTATGATTTACTACTAAAGAACAATGTCATTTTTGACACTTACGGTCATATTAATGATTACGATGATACCATAGAGCCACGCGTCAGCATAGAATATGTAATTTCAACAAGATGGTTCCATAGCGTACAAGAAGGAAGACTACAGTAAGTTAAAAAAAAAAACAATATAATATGTTTTGTGTTTACTGACGCGTTGTCTGCGTAGAATTAAAAAAAACCTGTTGGTCGCTGCATAATGTTATATAGCCTACAGCCTTCCTCTATAAATGGACTATCCAACAAAAAAAGATGTTTAAAATCGAACCAGTAGTTCTTGAGATTAGCGCGTTTAAACAAACTCTTCCGCTTTATAATATTAGTATAGATAAAAGCCTAGTTCTTCCAGTAACAAGTAACAATCTCCTGTCTATATTTTATTCTAGACTATTCGATAACCAAGGCAAACTTCTTAACGAGCTTCGTATGATGGACCATACTCTCCGCACGGGGGCGCTGCGCAACAATGACACTATGGAGGGGGTGACACAGGGTAGCTTCAGACAACCCTGCGCTGACAATGACTATCTTGTAGACCCTGAGGTAAACGATAATGTTATTTACCACCCATTAAGTCTTACTGTTGTTTTCTGAGAGCAAAATCTCTGTATAAAAATATAAGATTAGAGAAGCACGATCTTCTAAATTCTGTAATAATAGCATCGGGATATTCAAAATTCAACCTTAAACAACATCAATTAAAGTTCACATTCAAACAAACTTAGTATCTACTGAAAACAGTCCATTTTCCTCTTCATTTCTCATCTTTGGTAAGCTAAATTTAAACTTAAAACAACACTTTTAAAGTTCAAAATTAAATTTCCAGGTGGGAGAACGTATTCTAGGTCCACTGCAACGTGCCTCTGACGTCACAGCAAGTGATATCATGAAGGGACGTGACGTCGGTCTACCCTCTTACAATAAATACCGTCAACATTGCGGTCTTCCTGTAGCCAAGAGCTTTGAAGATCTATATAAATGGATGCCTAAAGATGTAAGTAGTAGCCCGCTTTAACATGTTCGCACAAAAATTCCAACTACAGTTTGATAAGTGTGCGTCCCTGTAGCCTAATTTACTCCTCTTCCTGATGAGAGGATGCATGGAAAAGGAAAATGTTTTCATTCTGTGCATCCTCTCCTCCGTCGATTAAAGGTAGGCAACGCATATGTAATTGCGTATGTCTATGGGCAACGGTCACTTCGCTATTACAGCAATTTTAAGGTGGCCGATCGGTCGTTTACTGTCTTATGATATAAAAAAAACTGAGGGTCTCAGAGTACACACTAAGTTAGACTAGATCATAGTCAATGCTAACCCAGTGATTAACTTCACAAATCTTTCAATTAGAAACTTAATTCACTATTAGTATCGTTACTTAAACAACATATAATAAATGTCACAAAACAGTTTGGCACATAACCTCAAAATGTCAAAATTAATTCCAGCAAGTGGACGTAATATCACGAAGCTACGAATTCGTGGAAGACATAGATTTAATGGTAGGTATATTAGCAGAGAGAGCAATGCCAAATGCTATAATGGGTCCGACTTTAGCTTGCATAATGATAGACCAACTGTTACGTTGGAGAAAATCCGATAGATTTTGGTATGAAAATTCTATACATCCAGGATCATTCACACCAGGTAAGTGGCAATTGTAACGATTTTGATTTAATTTAACGAATTTAATTACGCGACGGTCGCGCGTTATTAAAAAAACATAATTAGTCTATGTGTTCCACTGTTCTACATCTATGCCAAATTTCGTAAAGATCCATGCGGCTTTTGTGGATATATCTTGTAACAAACATCCAAACATTCGCATTTATAATATTAGTAAGATAGTAATATGAATTTCCTTATATCACAGCTACAAAAATTTAATTGATTCTTTTAAATCTTCTTTTAGTGTGATTTAAATTTTGTTCTTACTTATAGGTTAAATAAGATTGATGTTCTTTGCAAAATAATACTAACTAAATATTAAGTAGACAATGTTTTTTATCTGTAGGTCAACTTTACGAAATAAGAAAGATGACAATGGCGCGAATGATTTGTAAACATGGTGATTCAGTCGATTCTGTACAGCCGTATGCTTTCTTACTTTCGAATTATGGGTAATTAAAAAAATCTGAAATGATTTCATAGTAAACAGATTATAAATTATTAAAACTATTTTTTGTATTTTCCAGAAACGAAATAATGAATTGCTCAAAAATTCCGAATCTAAATTTTGAACCATGGCGTGATCAAAGTTGCAATAATAACAATAATAATGAAAATTACACAATTACTCAGATTTTGTATAACGCAACTCAAAATGTATTAGGAATTAAAAAACTTAATTGAAGGTTTTTAATACAGAAGAACTATTCAAACTTCCGTCGCACTAAAATTCAGTTTATTTTGAAAGAATATTAACTAATTGGAATTTAACTCTTTTAAATTTGTAATAAAATCTATTAAATAGTTTCGAGTTTTATTATAATCAATATTAATCGTCATACATTTTTAATTGGCTTAAAAGTCTTGAATCCATAGCACAAAAATTTGTATATTTTGATTGGTCCACAATTGGCGGCAAAATGTGACATATGCAAATTGTATGTCAAAAAGTTTTCAAGGTGAGGTAGATCTAGGAATTTATTTATGGTGAATTTTAAGATTGAAATAAATTGGAATAATAGTTAAGTAATGGCGAGAACAAAAGCTTCTGTAGGTGCAAAAGGTAAGTCAATACGTGTTATATATTATTTTATTTACTTTAATACAAACTACGTTACAATCAATCTTTTTATATTATGATTCCTTGTTTTTTAAACCTTGATTTTATTATAAATATGCTAAATAACTCAAATTAATCTTTAATTTAAGTTTTCAGAACTTTCACACTTGATTTTTGAATTTATTATCGTTCTAACCATTATTAAGGAGATAATTATTAAAAGTCACATCTTATTTATTTTCAGTATCATCTGGTAAAAGCAGTAAAGCAAGATGTTGTGCTGCGCCTCCACCAAACAGTACTGGAGCCTCAGGTAAAGAATTAGGAATAGAAATAAAACTTAATTAGTAGTTTTTTTGTTCTTCAAGACTATGTTCTACATCTATACCAAATTTCACCAAGATCCATGCAGCTGTGATACCTTATAACAAGCCATCCAAAATGGTTAAACAGATACTAAAAAACTAGATATAGAGATAATTAAATGTGTGGAATACATAGGCTATTTGCTAATGTTATTTTTTTTTAATTCCATGAGGATGAAATCTTATAAACAACTAGTTTTTATATAAATTAAAATCAACAGCCGCACTGGCCCAGTGCGGGTTGACTTCACACAAGCATGTCTCGCCGTTAAGCATTACAGCTTGGTGAGATAAAATTCTTTGTTAAATCTTTTGATGAAAAAAAAAAAATGTCTTTATACTTCTTTGCCAATATGTGCATTTTGCATGATTCCTTCTCAATAAGATAAATTTACATATGGAAATTCAAAAAACCTATTAGTATGTGGTAATTGTACCTAAATGTTTTTAGATTTAGCTGGACAGGTTTTGCATTGTTCCAACTTAAGGCAGTTGAAGATACTGTTGGTTCATTCTATATCTTGTTGAAATTCAAATAGGCACAAAATACCATGACTTAAAACCTGTCTAGTAGAATATAGTGATTGAAAGTTAATTATTAATTGATTACATTATTATAAATATTTATCAAGATATTTGTTTTGGTTAACCTTTGGTCAGTAACGGTTTAAACTCTACTAGGTCTTTGGCTTTGGTGAGCGTCGATGGCTTAGGGGTCAGCACTTGACTTGCAATCTGCAGGTCAGGTGGGTTCAAATCCCGCCATGTACCAATTTGTTTTTCCATTTCTGATTTACATATTTACATTTATACAACGTTCTTACGGTGATGGAACACATCGTGATGCTTCACATATCTGAGAAGTAATTCAAAGATATGTGTGAAGTCAACCCGCACTTGACCAGCGTGGTTGTCTACGGCCTAATCACCCTAACTTAGGGTGGGCTCCGAGCCCCTCGGTTAGGAAGAACAGTGAGCTGATGATAAGGGCTTTGGCCAAGATTTCTATCTAACTTTTTTAACCTTTAAGACCCTAACAGGGTTATGTAAGACTGATAAGCAGATCATAACCTTTGCAGTGCCCTAACGGTCACCTATCCGCGCCCTACTTTAACGGTATTGCCTTAATTGCTTGTCTTGTTGAATCTAATCTATATCACTTAATAAGATTTATTATTATCTCTTATTGACAATATCTTAAGTATTTGATAAGATGTATAAGCAGTTATTTGATATTTCTACGATAGGGGGTAAATTTTATATATTTGTATGATAAGGCTTAAAAAACAAAAGTCTTTATTTTTTATTTTTTTTTTAAAGAAAAATATTAGCAGATTTTTTTGTAAATTTTATTAATATTTCTTTTACCATTCCAACTAAGCTATATACTTGTGCTAGGATATGGTTTACGACAGTCGAATGTCGGGATTCGAACCCACGACCTCGTGGTCGGAAATCCGTACCCTTAACCATTACGCTATTGACGCTCATAAGAAATATTTGGGTACATTTTACTGTACATCAACATACAAGTGGCCATATGTTAATGTTTTATTATTAAGTACTTTGAGGGTAAATAAAACTGCTAGTACCATTTTAAATAAAAAAAAATGTTTATTTAAAAAACTTATATCTACCCTCATTCATCTTTATAACCTTTTAATGATTTCTTGTTTCTTTCATAGTATAAATCCCAGAAAGCCATACGTGCATGATATGACCTCTTTTTCATTGTCAATTCATTATCAATATCTAAATAATTAAATGCACCTTTAGTTATCGGCATCCATTTAATGGGTAGAAGTTTTGATATCTCCGGAGTTGGGTCTCTGCAAAAAAAATGATATGAATCAACTATAGTTCGACGTACTGAGATGATTCATGTTTAGAGTTCGATTAGATAATATTTATAAGTAAGATCTTTCTATTCGCGAGGTTAATGTATATTTGTAAGATACTGTAGGATCATGTGCTAAGGTTACATACATAATATACCAAAATGGTAATAAAACGCAAATTTAGACGTGATATCTGTGTGCCTATGTTCAATGCACGATCTCAGGATGATATTATGATCTGTATACGGGAATTGGTAATTACTTTTATGCCCGTGAAGGAATCGCTAATAAGGAGATTTTAATATATTTAGTTTAATGAGACTAATTGAAAGCGCGTCGATGGCTCTGGGGTTTAAGCACTTGAATACCGCCCAACCGATGTGATTTTCGATTTACATATATACATTTATTCTATGTTGTTACGGTGAAGGAAAACATCGTGATGCTGCACATATCTGAGAAAGTCAAAGATATGTGTGAAGTCAACACGCTCTGGTCCATCGAGGTTGACTATGGCCTAGTCACCCTTAATTTGGGTAGGCTCTGAGCTCCTCAATGGGAGTATAGTGAGCTGATGATCATAAAATAAAATAATTTTTGGATAGATATATATATAATTATATAATATTTTCAGCTGAATCATAGTAACAAGGATGTGATATGTCAAACGTTCCAATGATAAATATTTATTTAGATAAGATTAGAAATTTATTTATAGTTAAAGAATACAAGATAAGAAAGGATTAAGTTAAGAATGTGTATTAGAGGAAGTTTGAAAGTAGCGCAAGTGATTGAGCAATTGAGGAGCAAAAGGATAGCGTGGTTTGGTAATATTATGGTGAGAGATGATGATATAAACAAAAAATGAGATTGAATGTGGATGGCTACAAAGGTGGAGGATAACCAAAGACTCTATGGATTATGTGAAAGAGGATATGCGTAAGAAGGGGGTGGATTCAGATACATACTGTGCAGTCCCAAAGTAGGGATAAGGGCAGGTTGATGATGATGCATACATCTTACTATTTACTAATATTATAAATGCGAATACATGAATCATGCTAAATGGATGGAAGTTTATTAGAAAGTAATTGCCGAAGGGCTCAACGGATGTCGATGAATGTCATAGATGAAAAAAATAGTCTGAAGCTAGCAACTTGTAACCATATAAGATGATTCTGACGGTGATTAAACCATAAGATAGTTCAATTAGCTGATTGATTAGCTGTACAGTAGGACCAAAATCGAGACTCGAAAAGACGAGAAAGAGAAGAGAGAGTTATAGAGGTTTCTCCCTTATCCAGTTTAGCTTATTCAGGTTTCAATGTATATATGTTGTCAATACTGGGTATTGTTAGGAAGAAAATTCGACACTGTGCCGGTGTATCGGGGCCACACTAGCCTTATTAAACCTCACTAATCATTCTGACACTTGACATTGTAACAAAAGCGCGCCATTCGCGACAAAGATTCAAACTCTTAATGTCAAAAAGTATGAACGTATTTCCAGAATTCACAATTCTATTAGTTGTTTTAGTAAACGTTGCATGATATCTGGTTGAAAGATATTTACTGCCTAACCTAATTAGTGTAATCGGTTTTTATACTTACAAAAAAATCCACTTACCCAAATTTAACGAAATTCGTCCACATAGTAGTCATCCTATCTTTTGTAACTTGGTCTTCTATTGTCGGTGTATCCGATAATAAGGCCATATTGAATAAATATCCATATTCATCAGAGTGTATCGCACCAGGATATGTTATATTATCCTTTAGCTTACCAAAGTTTCTACCACCACTGTATCGGAAAACATAATGGTAGACTTTACCATCGTTTTCTAAGTAACTTGAAAGTCTTCTATGGATTGGATGAATAAATGTAAAATCAGAATCATAATCTGATAATTCGTACTTAACATTTTCACCCACAATTTCATCACCTATGTAAAATTGCTTAAGTAATTTCACTTGATCGTCATCTATCATATTAAATGCTAGACCAAGATTATCTTCAAATATTTCTCTTTCATTGTACTTGTCCGCTGGTTTGTTATAGAATTCAAATAGCTTCTCCATATTCGTATAACCTATTAGAATTGGTATAGTCTTCGCTTTACTTATATCATAATTCATTGGATGATCTGTTATGAAATTTTCAATACCATCAAATTCTTTCTCAACACATGGTACACAAGTGATTGCTAGATCAATTTCTGCTGATACAACTACATTTGGATCTAACGTAGCTAAATATTGCACTGCTTCGTTAGTATCATCAGTTTCATATCCTAAATGTGTAGCAATTCTAATTGGTATATTCCTATCGGACTCCATAATTCCCCAGGGACATAAACTTGTCCCGCTTTGACTGATAGCTTTATCGAATAGCTTCTCTTTCTTTGATAAAAGGTGATAATCAACAGATACCCCTCCAGCACTAGCACCAGAAATTGTAACCTTATTAGGATCCCCACCGAAAGCTTCTATGTTTTCTTTAACCCATCTTAATGCTGCTACTTGGTCCTTCAAGCCCTGATTCCCTGGAACTTCAGGTGTGTCTAAACACATGAATCCGTATAAACCTATTCTATAATTAATAGTTACTAGGATAACATCTTTCTTGACTAAATATTTAGCACCGAATTGAGTTCTTCCTCCGTTACCGTACAGAAATCTACCACCATGTATCCAAAATAATACTGGCAGTTTGTTGCTAGTCGATGCTTTGTTGGGGACGTATATGTTGAGATGTAGACAATCTAATGAGCCTATCGTTTGATCAGTTCGTTGTAAATTCTGTATGCAGATTGCCGAATCATCGTAAGCCTCAAATGTGCCCTTAAAATCGGGATACGGTAGAGCAGTCTACACAAAAAAAAATTACCAAGTTATTATAATACATTTGATAAAGATTTTCGTGTTGAAATTTGTACGTAGAAACTAGTATTACCATTTATAAGACTTTCAATATCTAAAATAATCATACTAATATTATAACGAATGTTTAGATGGATGGATGAATGTTTGTTTGAAGGTATCTCCGGAACCCCTTAACGTATCTTGATGAAATTTGGCATAGATGTAGAACATAGTCTACTCATTAAGTTTTTTTAAACTCCACGCGGACGAAATCGCGGGCGATAGCTGGTAATTATATAACTAGACAAAAAAAGGTATACGATCTTTTGGCCTATGTCCAGCAAGGGTGTCTTGTGGCTGAACAACCAAATATAAATATCACTCCTAACTTATAAGTTCACGCAAAAAAAGAAAAAAAGTTGTTATGTAATTCATGATAAGACACATACCCCAAATGGATTTGTATAGTTGACCATAGCATATGGTATGCCAAGGAACATGGCATAGTCTCCATCTGTAGCCTGCAGTCCTCGGATCAGACCCTTCTTGCTTTCCACCAGTGGGTCCAGTCTTGGCGATGCCCAAGCTACAGTAATAAATAACAATAATACTAAGACCTTCATTGTAAACCGACTATTACGAACGAATGCAAAATAAATTTGTGAGTCCTTTTAAGGTCGTCTCATATCAAACTCAAGTGTTTTTTTTTGAGATTATAAGATATATCTGACACGTGTTTACACAGTTTATTTGAACGACTGACGTCTTTATACGTGTGAATTTATCTGTTATTTTCATTCATAAATATATGTATAACGTAAACGTACTAAAATATCCACTTCACTTTAACAAATAATTAACCATCAAACCATATGCTGATTGTCCACTGACATCATCACCGGCATCGGCATCACGAACTAATTTCTATCCAAGATCAAAATGACGTGACGGAGTCGAGTCATTTATAAACCTGTTTTATATTGCTGGCACATCATGCCGTCATAATCTAGGCACCGTTCACGCGGTAACGCCGATCTACACAAAATATCAGCGGAGAAGATATCTTACTTCTTTCTTACTAATAAATACGAATGTTTGGATGGATGGATGAATGTTTGTCTGAAGGTATTCAAAACGGTTGAACAGGTCTCGATGAAATTTGGCAAACATATAGAACATAGTCTGGAAGAACACACAGGCTACTTATTAAGTTTTTTTAATACCGCACAGACGGATTCGCGGGCGACAGGAAGTACAGAAATATTTATAAAAGTGTGAAAGATATATCAGGATTAATTCAAATTTCCGTCTACCTTTTAGGTTAAGAAAGGATTCGACTGCTTTTTCACATATACCCACTTCATTGTTACTATACCTTGACCGATTTCACCAAGTATCAAAGGGATGAAGGTTGTTGTTTGTTTTCACAATTTGCGTAAGTTAACTACTTTTTTATTCTAGGTGGTAGTGATCGTTCCTCTCGAAGTCATTCCGGTGGAAATCCCGTATGTCCAAGAGAGACTCCGATATGGCAGAGACCTATTACTAGCTTCATCGTCAACAAAAAAGCAGAAAGTGTCGAGAAAGAATACGAAACACCAAGTATGTTCTTTATTATATTTATTTAGGTTCAAATTTAGCTTAAATTAATCCCAAAGTTTTATGAGGTCTCCGCTGTGAGGGCTTAATCCTTAAGTCAACCACATCCTCTTCTTGCTTCTCTAAGACAATAGAGTGAATTTCTCATATATTTGCAGATTGCATCACGATTTTTTCCTTCAACATAAGAACATCGGATAAATATACATATGTAAATCGGAAGTCGAAAAACACATTGGTACATGGCGGGATTCGAACCCAGGACCTGCAGATTGCACGTCAAATGTGCCCTGAGCCACCGACGCTCTACGTCTTATAAATGTTAAAACTGAACTATATTCAAAAATAGCTGTTAGATTCACAATAACATTTTCACAGGAAGCAGCAAAACAAATAAAAAAGGAATCGAAAATAACTCTAAAAATGATGCAGAATCTGACGATGAGGAAATAACTAAAACCAAACCGAAACGTAATAAAATCTTATCAGATGATGAAGAGACACCTAAAAATAGGGAATTAGATGAATCACTAATTTTAGAACCTTTAACCGGTGAAAACAGTCACAAAATAGATGAATACTATCAAAAGAATAACAAAGGGAAGGGTAGGGGAAAGAAGAGTAGAGAAAATAATAACATAGACGATGTTAAAAGAAATCTGAAAAGGGATTTGGAAGATATTACTTTTGGTGAAGAAAGTGAACATACTAATAAAAAGGCTAAAATTGAATGATTATTACATATGAAAAGGTAAGTCAAATAATTGTAGGGTAGATCATAAAATACTCTCATAATTATCATAGGATTTTATGTAGGTAGTTGAAACTATCTCAAATTTTTAAATACATCTTTAAATTGATTTCACTTTCACTTTACAATTACAATTCTGGTAAAGAATTTGTAAAAAAACTGTCGTCCGTGCAGAATTTAAAAAAAAACTTTATTAATAACCTAAGTGTTCTTCCAGAAGATGTTATACGTCTATGACAAATTTCATCGAGATTCATTGAGCCTTTCTGGAGATACCTTCTAACATACATCCATCCATCTAAATATTCGCATTTATAATATCAGTAAGATTTACTTTTTACAAGCATTTATTAAGTATCTGTCCCGATGTTTGTCGTTGCAAATTTAAGATCCACTTGTCACTTGCGGGTTACTAACTGAGTAGAAATGCTACATACATGTGTAAATCACGTGACAATACAATGTTATGATGACACGGAGCTGATCTGATGATGCAGCTTAAACATCCTCATACTTACTTCACAAAATAACCTCAACGAGTTTGGACCCATTTTAATCGTCTTTGAAATTAACAAGAACATAATAAAAGCTTGTTTTTAAAGAGTTAGTTACCATTTAATATTTTTTTGTGACTACCCACTTTTAAAATCATAACTACCCTACATTTACAGGCACTTTCAAGACTTCATTTATATAGAACATCTTCCAGACAAGAATTTAGAAGAGATAACTAAATAATCTAGAGTTATTTAGTTATTATAAAAAGTGCTGAATCTTAAAATAGAAAAATCACTCGGCTGGTCTGATTGAAAATAAGTGCTTTGTGAAATATTTGGGATTTTCTAGTGTTGTTTCAAGTTCTAAGTGTTTACAGTGTGTCTAAAATAGATTAATTTGACAACTGACGCCTATAAAGATAGAATTAATTTAGTATGAGTATTAATGTTGTACTTAATGTACGGTTGTCATAGTGTCGGAGTGTACGCGTATTACGAACAACTACGAACTATCGATAATCGGTTTTATAAAAATATCTATCTATTAGTTAGGGTATCTTATTAGTTTTTGAATTTATTACAGATATTTAGCTATATCTCGCGCTATTAACTAAAAAAACGTTAGTTTCTTCTTTTTGTGTCTCAACATCTCAATTTTTAGTTTAAAATGTTATATTTCTACGTAATTATGAAGAGTAAAGTTGACATAAAAGGAAACAATTTCATTTGTGTTGTGAATCAAAAACAATCAAGAAATTATCGATTGCAAGTTCTATGAGAACAAACATCGTAAATCGAAATTTTTTATAATCGATTTTAATCAACCCATATCTATTGAATTGTCAAATTAATCTATCTTAAATAGACACACTATAGTGACATGTGATATACAAAGTGATTTAAGTAACGTGGTAAGTGTTGATTTATATTAGTTTTTGTATTTAATTCTTTTTAAAAATAAATGACAAAACCCCCTTCAGAATATAAAAATATGGGATTTAATCTATATTAAGAGACGTGTTATTATGCGTCTTATCAGGAAGGTATATTTAAAAAAATATAGCTAAGTGTGAGTCGCAATCGCACACAAAGTGTTCCGTACAAACCGGCCCTTATTTGGTTGGCACATGTACTCCGCCATACATCTCTATCAGCAGTCATATCCGAATATACCCCCTTCCTACACATATCCTCTTTCACACAGTCAATCCATACTTTATAATAATCAAACATCTGTACAAACCTGTAAATATATAAATAAAAATTTAGAGTTGTCGCAATTTTTACTTTATCTGAGCTTCGTACCAAATTCCTACATTTTATGTTCACGGAAAGTACCTTATAAGTTTTGTATCCCTTACGAGTGTCGATTTGCGGCATAAGAGGCTGTATCTTTTAACAACTCCAGCTTAATACTTTCTCGTGTTTTTAAGAAAAAGGGCCTTGAGAGATAGACTGACAACAAAGGGATTAGCCCTGCGCTTCAGGCTGTTGGCGAGGCTACCGCCTTGGCTCGAGCCACACACGGCCGAGCACGGTTTTTTTTATATCATAAGGTGGCAAACGAGCGAGTGGCCGCCTAAAATCGCTGAAATAGCCAAGTGACCGTTGCCCATAGACATACGCAATTGCAGAGAGGACTAAATTAGGCCTCCGGGACGCTCATTCATCAGACGAAACGCGGAATTGCTTCCACTTCACGCCTGTCTTCTGTGTGGTCGAGGTATTTCACCGGGCGAACCGGGCCAATTCGTGCGAAGATGTTAAAGCGGGCTCTACCACTGTTAAAAATTTATTTCGGGTATCCTCCCTGGTGAATGATTCTATTTAGGGCGAAAACAGTCGCCCTTTTGCCCTGCATCTTTAGCAGCATGATAGCGGTCGCATTGTGCGGCTGCACTGTGGACGCCCTCAGTCCCACGACAGGGACATAGGACTTTAAGTTAAGTTATGTAACTCACGGAACACTAAAAACTATCCCTATCGACCTTCTTAAGGTCATAATAAAGAGATAAACTATCCTAAAAAGTATTATCTTTGACATCAAACAATTGAAAGACAATATCTTAGAATTACTTTGAATTTATTGTTTATCTAACACTAGCTGTCGCCCCCGACTCCGTCCGCGTGGATATATAAAAAAAAATTAGTGTGGCCTATGTTTTCTTTCAGACTATGTTCTATACGTATGCCAAATTTAATCGAAATCCGTTCAGCTGTTCTAGAGATATCTTCAAACACCCATCCAATCACATCCATCTAAACATTCGCATTTATAATATTAGTAAGTTAAATAAAAAGCAGCTCTTCAAGGTATAAATTCGAAAAAAAAAATGAATAAATAGTATCCTATGTCCGTCTCCTTGCTCTAAGCTACCTCCTCACCAATTTTCAGGCATATCGGTAAAGCCGTTCTTGAGTTATAAATAGTGTAACTAACACAACTTTCTTTTATATATATAGATGAAATGATTATCTAATATTTACTGACTAGTAGTACTATGGGAGGTAAAATAAGTCGTCATGATTAGACATTTCTATATATGTTATGATAAGCGGTAGCACGTGACTTCACCCACGTGTTAAAATCTTACAAATATTATAAATGCGAACGTTTGAATAGATGTTTGACGGTATCTCCAGCACGGCTGACCGGGTCTTGCTAAAATTTAGCAAAGATGTAGAAAATAGTCTGGAAGAACATATAGGCTACTGATTAAGTTTTTTATTGATTCTGCGAAGACGGAGTCACGGGCAACAGCTAGTTTAGTAATACATATAGCTTATATCAACCGGGGATAGTGTAGCTTTGTAATAGTAAAAGAATTTTTCATATAGGTTTAGTAGTTTCTGAGCTAAAAATTAATTCTTCTGTTTATATACCATAAGGTGGCAAAGGAACAAGTGACCGTTGCCCATAGACATACGCAATTGCATATGCGTTGCCTACATTTAATCGACGGAGGAGAGGATGCACAGAAAGAAAATATCTTCCCTTTCCATGCATCCTCTCATCCGGAAAATCCACTTCCACTTCCCATCCTTTCCTTATAACAAAAAGGTGGGAAGGGAAAGAGGAGTAAATTAGGCCTCCAGGACGCACACTCATCAGACGAAACGCGGAATTGCTTCCACTGCACGCCTGTCTTCTTCGTAACACTAAAACATAATATAGCAGTTTCCAAAGTGGTATAGACTTGAGGTCCCTACAGGGATCATCGAGGGCAAGAAAGAAATAAGGGTATCACAATTAGTAGTTAATGTAACATTTTGAAAAGTGTCTACGAGAATAAAACGTCTGAGAATCTAACCTGAACTCTAGAAGTAGGGTAGTAGGTGGCAGCTAACGTGTTAATAATAAAAATCCAGTAAAAAAAGTATCAAAAATATGTATTTTTTATTTACAATTCAGTATTTCTATAACCTTTTATATGCTGCTTGTTCATTTTGTAATATAAGTCCCAAAATGCTATCCGTTCCTGTATGGCACGTTTCTTCAACGTCTGTTCAATATCTATTTCTAAATAATTCAATGTATCCTCTGTGATAGGTATCCATTTAACTGGAAGAAGTTCTGTAGTTTCAGGAGTGGGATCTCTGTAAAAATTAACAAAATTAAGTTGGTACAAAAAGCCGATAAATTCTATTTTATAATCTTATTAAATGTCGGCACTTTTCCTTATTCATCCATATTCCATACTAGATGTCGCCCGCGATTTCGTCCGCGCGGAATTAAAAAAAGCTCGTCGCAGCGTAATGTTATATAGCCTAAAGTCTTCCTCTATAAATGGACTATCCAATAAAAAAAGAATTTTTCAAATCGGACCAGTAGTTCCTGAGATTAGCGCGTTTAAACAAACAAACTCTTCCCCTTTATAATATTATATTCCATACTAGCTGTCGTCCGCGAGGATATATAAAAAAAACTTAATATATATATATATATATATAGATAAGTTAAATAAAAAGCAGCTCTTCAAGGCATAAATTCGAAAAAAAAAAGAATAAATAGTATCCTATGTCCGTCTCCTTGCTCTAAGCTACCTCCTCACCAATATTCAGGCATATCGGTAAAGTCGTTCTTGAGTTATAAATAGTGTAACTAACACAACTTTCTTTTATATATATAGATAGATAGATATAGATATTCCATACGAGCAAACATGAGCCATATCTGACTGCATTCTTACCATCTTTCACACAATCTATACTTTCCTTGGTCTTTCTCTACCTTTTTAGCCACATTCAAACTTTTTAAAAAAGTTCGAAATAAATTATCAAATCAAAGTCTTTTACACTACACATACTTTAAGTAAATGTTATCTTTTGAAGAAAAAAGACCTCCTAGAATCGAGATAAATATTGAATATGTTGTCAGATGTTTGATATATTTACGAAGATAAGATTAAAATGTAATTTAACTCATCTATATCTGATAAATATCTTTGGTCACATGAATTTTAAAGATATATAAGATAAGATATCCAACAATATATGTTTCTTAATTGAATTAGATGAGCTATCTAAAATATTTGTTTAAAAACTCTTTTTACTACAAGGTGACTAAGAAGGAAGTGTAAGGATTGATTGAATAAGAAACGACTGAACTCAGATCTTAGTAATATAAATGCGAATGTTTAGATGTATGTTTGTTAGAAAATATCTCCAGAACGGTTGAATCTCGATGAAATTTTGCATAGATGTAGAACATAATCTGGAATACTTTGGCTACTAATTTATTTTTTTAATTCCACGCGGACAATATATCCTACAAACTATGCCGACACTAAATATAGGAAAAGGCTACACAATGATGATTCTCTTTAAAAATAACAGAGATAAATATGTTTCTATATAATTTTTTTGTATATAAAATATAAATATTTACCCGTATTTCACGAAATTAGTCCACATAGTGGTCATTTTATCGATTATAGCCTGGTCTTCTGGTGTTGGAGTCTCAGGTAGAACAGCCATGTCGAATAAATAACCTTTCTAATCGGAATGTATAGCTCCAGGCCCAGTTATTTTCTCTCTTAACTTAGCATAGTTTCTACCACCTGCATATTTAAACACGTAATGGTAAACTTTAGCCCCATTCTTCAGATAGGGTAAACTTCTATGTATCGGATGTATGAACACAAAGTCTGAATCGAATTCGGCTAATTCATATTTTACGTCGATACTAACATCTTTATCACCAATGTAGAAATTACGTACTATTTTAACAAGTTCTTTATCGACATCATTAAAATCTAAAGCTAAGTTATCTTCGAAAACTTTCTCATCGTATTCATCTGCAGGTTTATTCGCGTATTCAAATAATTTCTCTAAATTATTATAACCGATTAAAATTGGTGTATCTTTTACTTTTGGCATTGGTGAATTGATCGGATACTCTGTTATAAAACTTTCGATACCATCAAATTCTTTTTCAATGCAAGGTCTGAATGTTTCTGACAACTCAATAGTTGCTGCTACAACTATTTCTGGGTCTAAATTTGATAAATATTCGACAGCTTCATCACTGTCGTTTATTTCTACACCTAATTGTGAAGCTACTCTTACAGGTAGATTCCTATCAGAATCACTAAATGCCCAAGGAGATAAGCTTGTACCGCTCTGTGTTATGGCTTTATCGAATAATTTCTCTTGTTTAGATAACAAATGATAATCAACTGACACTCCACCGGCGCTGGAACCGAATATAGTTATTTTATTAGAATCACCACCGAAAGATTCGATATTTTCTTTAATCCATCGTATAGCACGAAGTTGATCCTTCAAGCCTTGATTTCCTGGTACATCTGGTGTATCTAAACACATAAATCCGTATATACCTACTCGATAATTAATAGTTACTAGAATAATATCTTTTTTAACTAAATATTTAGGTCCGTATTGATGTCTTCCACCACTGGTATGCTGGAATCTACCACCATGTATCCAAAGTAAGACAGGAAGCTTATTCCTTGTGGTAGCTGAATTAGGAACGTATACGTTTAAACGTAGACAGTCTAAAGAACCGACTACATTTGTAGTTCTCTGTTGATTTTGTATGCAAATCGATGTATCATCGTTTGCTAAATATGTGTCTTGGAAATCTGGATACGGGAGAGATGTCTGGAAGAAAAAAAATTGAAATTACTTTAAGCTATAACATTGGTAGAACACGCTTTTACCACGACCATACAGAAGACGCTTCGAATGGAAGCAATTCCGCGATTCGTCTGATGAGTGTGCGACCCGGGGGCCTGATTTTAGTCCTTCCCTTCCCATTCTTTTCTTTACAACAAGGATTAGTCGGAGGAGATGATGCATAGGAATGTAAAATATTATCTTTCTGTGCATCCTCTCCTCCGTCGATTAAAGGTAGGCAACGCATATGCAATTGCGTATGTCTATGGGCAACGGTCACTTCGCTATTTCAGGTTGTATGATCGTTTAGCATCTTATGATAGCAAAAAAAGCTTTGCCTCTAAATTAATTTTGCTAAGAAACTACAGAACCGTTATCAATTTAAATGACAAGTTCAGCCTTGAAACCTTATATAATAGAGTCAGCGTGCTAACAAAAATATGGAACTTTTGGCCTTAAACAAATGTTTATTTTTAGTTGTTTGAACAAATGTACAGTCAGCGTCATATAGATCGTCACAGACAAGATATGCAAATATATAGGTACATCAAAAGTAATCAATTATATCGGTACAACAAAAGTCCTCAAAATAATAGATACATTCACCCTGCTCAAAAACATCGGTACATACACAGCGTCAAATATATGAGTACATGCAAGATGCTCATAAATATCGTAGCAGCCACAGCGTTATAAGTAACGAAGCAGTCAAGGTGCGCAAAAATATCGGTACATTTGACAAAATTGAACTCTATCTCTATATACTTGTGATACAATTTGGAATAAACTACTTCTGTTATATTCATTTGACACTTTGCATCAAACCATTTTTCAAAATTTACTAAAAGTGTTCGACGCGGATGACAGATATTAGGTAGATAAAACCAACATCAATTTTAAGTTTGTCATCATATATGCTAGTTTGGTCTCGTGGCCTTACCGTTCGCCGCCGTTGGTACGTAAGGTCGGCGGTTCAAATCCCAAGCCACTATTTTTTTTTTATATTTAAACTTTTTAATTTTAATATCGAAGCACATGTAATTCAACTTTATCGCCGTAGTTATTAGGTACTTTTTGATATTGCTTTGGACTAATGAGTTTGACCGTTAAAGTACTTTTCTATTTCAAACAAAAATGAAGGAGATAAAGCGATGCTATTGGCATGTAATTTGTTTATTACTCATGTTTGTTAAACTTGTACCGGTAAAAATAACACTACCTTTTGCTGATACTGATTATATTTAAGAAAGAAAGAAAAAAAACTGAATGTCAATATCCAAACTACATCAAATTTTTGGTCGATTGCAATAAACATTCCAGTGTGCGTGGGCGCGCACACATATGTAGATAATACTTGTACGTATAGTTTCCGCGCGTACCATTCACAAAACCCGCAATGACAATCCACGCTCCGCCCACTCACTTCACCCGCGATGGTCTGACCTAATTGTTGTTAACGTTATTTAAATTTCTTTCTACCCGACAGCGAAAATTATAAAAAAAAAATTGTCGAGCAAAATTTTACATTACCAAATTTTTACTGGTTATGAAAAAATAACCCCGTGATTGATAAAATGAAAAAAAAAGTAGCCTGAGATTCGAACCAGTAAACTTACACATTACGGCAAACATACTAGAATACTGCGCCAAACTTGTATATATTGTGACAAGGCAAAATTTGATATTAGTTATTACGTATCTGTCATATTCGGCGTGACAAACCTTTACAATATATTTAAGCGTTATGACAGGAGAAGAAAAATATTGGGTTGCCCAGTAAGTTCGTGCCGCTTTATAAGGAAAATTGAAACCCTGTTCTCTTAAATTTTTGGAAATGTTTTTAAATTATATTGGTACGACTCTATATCTAAAACGTCTTTTATTATTGGATAAAATTTTAAAAATTAGTTTTTATCTCAACCAATGAAATGAAATTATTCACAATATAGAAATTTTCGTGACGTTTGATAATGGTGGAAATCCGAAAATGAATCCACTTCAGCTACAGTCTATTGTAATCTTTATATCGAAAATCAGAACGAACTTTCCGGACAACCTATAATGTTAATACAAAGTGTCAAATGAATGTAACAGAAGTAGTTTATTCCAAATTGTATCACAAGTATATAGAGATAGAGTTCAATTTTGTCAAATGTACCGATATTTTTGCGCACCTTGACTGCTTCGTTACTTATGACGCTGTGGCTGCTACGATATTTATGAGCATCTTGCATGTACTCATATATTTGACGCTGTGTATGTACCGATGTTTTTGAGCAGGGTGAATGTATCTATTATTTTGAGGACTTTTGTTGTACCGATATAATTGATTACTTTTGATGTACCTATGTATTTGCATATCTTGTCTGTTACGATCTATATGACGCTGACTGTACATATTTAATATTTATTTTAACATTGAACTTATATGAAAAAATTAATCGCCCATATTCAGTCGTCTGTCTCAAACTAAATTAATACTTAGAGGTTTTGTTTTACCACTTCTCTGTGTACAGGTTATTGTGTATTCAACTACATACAAAAAACGTTATAAAAATACTATAATGCGGGCAAAGACTCAGGTAAATTAAATTTACAATATAAAAAATAATTTGGAAAATCGACCGGCACTTTTATGAAACACTCCATTTATTTTACTAATATTATAAATGCGAACGTTTAAATCTATGTTAGAAAGTATCTCCAAAACAGCTGCATGGATCTCGCTGAAATTTGGCATACACGTAGATCATTGTGTGGAACACAGGTTTTTTTTTATAACAGAAGGGGGGCAAACGAGCAGCGGGAACACCGAGGTGATCAACGACACCCAGGGACATCAGCAATACCAGAGGAACCGCAGATGCGTTGCCGGCCTTTAAGAAAATGCTATTCTCGCTTCTTGAAGGTCCCTAAGTCGTATTGATTTGGAAATACCGCCGAGGACAGACCGTTCCACAATGCGACTGTGCGAGGCAAGAAATTTCGCGAGAATCGCACCTTTGTGGAATGCCAGCCATCCAGGTGGTGTGGATGGAACCTGGCGGTCTGTCGTGTCTAATTAGGTTACTAATTAAGTTTCTTTTAATTCCGCGTAGACGGAGTCGCGGGCGACAACTAGTATGTATGTTACTTATATTACGAATGCGAATGTTTAGATGGATGGTTTGATGTTATTTGAATTTATCTCCGGAACGGCTCAACGGATTTTGATGAATTTGGTTATAGATGTAGAACATAGTCTGGAAGAACACATAAACTACTTAAATTCAATAGTTACTTACCCCGAATGGGTTACTCTCGTTGACTTTAGCGTATGGTATACCCATAAACATAGCATAGTCTCCATCTGTTGCCTGCACGCCTCTTATCAGACCCTTTTTAGTTTGTACCAATGGGTCTAATCTTGGTGAAGCCAAAGATCCATGAATAAATAATAAAATTATTATAAATTTCATTTCAAAACAACTTATTCGGCCGAATCTCCTTCAATGTGTGAAACGTAATCTCAAGTGTTTAAATATAAATCAAAAAGATATAGTCATTCTGATAGTTTTGGAAACGATCTTAATCTTATTAATATTATATTATAAACTAGCTGTCGCCCGCGATTCCGTTCGCGTGGATATATAAAGAAACTTAATTAGTGTAGCCCACCCATCTATCCATCCACGTCACATCCATCTAAACATTCGCATTTATAATATTAGTAAGTTAAATAAAAAGCAGCTCTTCAAGGCATATATTGGAAAAAAAAAGAATAAATAGTATCCTATGTCCGTCTCCTGGCTCTAAGCTACCTCCTCATCAATTTTCAGGCATATCGGTAAAGCCGTTCTTGAGTTATAAATAGTGTAACTAACACCACTTTCTTTTGTATATATAAACTAGTTGACGCCTGGGATTCCGTCTGTGGATTAAAAAAAAATAGTAGCCTATATGTTCCAGGCTTCAGACATCAGCCGTTCTGGAGATACCTTCTAACAAACAACTAAACATTCGCCTTTATAATATTAGTAAGATTGCCATGACAATATCTTTTCGATATATTATTCAAACACTTGTGATTATTCGGACGGAGTCACGGACGAATGCTAGTATCATTATGAAAGACAGAATTTCGCATTTATAATATTAGTAAGGATTTATTCATATGAAAATCAAATCAAACATCAAAATGATTATATAATTTTTTATTTGAATTTATCAAACTAATCTAATATTAAAATCTGTAGAAAACTGGAAAAACTTCGTTCGGATACAAAACATTATTGCTACGGCGGGAAAAAGTTACAAACAACATAACCTCAAAACGTCAATTGTTACAAAAAGGCAAAGGTTTTTATACCATTCTGCCACAAATGTCACCAAAGAGTTTGTAAACTTAAAAAAAAACTTTTTAGACAATTCATTAAGAATTTTTTTATTTAAGAAATCCTTTGTTGTCTAAAATATGACGTATTTATATTGTTTGTAACTTTATCACAATACAACCATATGAAATGTATATATTCATTATGTATATAGTAAAGTACATAATGTAATTTCTAAAAGTTAAGATTATAGCGCGCTAATAAAGCATTTAAGTAACTAAAAAAAAAACTTGATAAAGCTAAAAATCGATCCTTGATTCCAAAAATTGGATAATTATAAACGAAAGATCAGATTTCTAGATTACTATTACGAAATCGATTAAATTTGCTGATGGATTAGATTTTTTAAATTAAAAAATACCTAAAATTAATCGGCTAAATAGTTTATTGACTATTTCATTTAAAAAAAACATTAAAAATAACTGTAAATGGCGTGCCGGACATCCGGATACAGCCGGACATCCGGATACAGCCGGACATCCGGATACAGCCGGACATAGGTAGGCTTTTTGATTGCGTCACTCAAAAAAGTGTCCGGGTTGTCCGGCTTTTCTTAGGTTTTTCGTATAATGAGAAAAAATCCTCTAGTAGGTTGTCCGGCCGTTCTACCCAATTGTCCGGACAAACTGGATTCTTTGTCCGGCTGTTAAGTTTGTCTGACAACCCTAACTGCAAATGTCTATGAAAATTACGTAAAAAATCACTTCTCGCGCTAATTCACTAAACATTTTTAACCTCAATGTATATTAAAGTTTGAATATTGCTAATATTTCGCATCTATAATTAAGTTAACGAGATTTTCTTGTATTTAATTACATTTATTCCAAAATGTAACTAAAAATCTAGCAATTGTTTGAATTACATTGAAATCTCTGAATAAGTGACATATACTAAAATATTAGTTTACAGTATTCCAGTACAGTAAGACAGTAGTGCTCAAAATTATCGCTGGCATGCATTATACACGAACTGACGCCAGTAAGCCAATACAGTCAATATAATACAAGCGCTACTGTCTTACTGTACTGGATTAGTGTAAAACGGACATAATTTGTATATTATGGAAGAACAAAGAAAATACAAGAAAATGTCGTCAATAAATATATCCTATAATACTCATAAACACTAATTTCTAATTAAATGAATACACAATCTTTATAATGTACATCTCTCCGGACACAAACATCCCCACTGAGGGTAGAATCTACCCTAAGTGAGAGTATGTGATAGTGAATGCTGGTCCAGTGCAGGACTTCACACATTTGACTTTCTCAGATATGTGCAGCATCACGATGTTTTCCTTCACCGTAACATAAGATAAATGTACATATGTAAACACATTGGTACATTGGATTTGAACCTAGGACATGTAGACAAGTCTACTGCTAACCCACTGAGACATATAGTCTCACTGAGGGTAGATTCTACCCTCAATGGGGATGTATAGCTGATGATGACTTCCCATACAAAATATAAAGATTTGCTTCAAACTACAAAATTCTATTACAAATTGAATACAAAACTCTATATAAATTGTCTATTAATTTGGCTGACATATTGTTTATACTTCCCCAAAAAAATGGAACAAACTCATTCATCACAGAGTCTCTGTTTCATGCAATATTAAAAAAAACATTATAAACTTCTTTACAGCTAGCTATCGCACGCGACTTCGTGTAAGATACTGCCTAGGGTAAGCATTTTAATTTAAATTAAGCTACTTTCAAGCGTCAATAGCCTAATGGTTAAGGGTACGGATTTCCGATCACGAGGTCGGGGGTTCAAATCTCGCCATTCGACTATTGTCGTAAACCATATCCTAGCACAAGCCTAGAGCTTAGTTGGAATGGTAAAAGAAATATTAGTAAATTTACAAGAAAACAAAAAAACAATTATAAAGTTCTAGCTTGTATCTGTAAAAATGACACTTCCATATAAATTTCCAACCCCCTTTTCACCCTCTTACCACCCCTTTTTAAAGTATAAAGTATCTTATGTCCTTCCCCAGGCTCTAGACTATGTGTACCAAATTTCATTTAAATCTGTTCAGTAGTTCTTGAGTAAAAGAAGAACAAACAAACAGACTTACTTTCACATTTATAATATTAAAGATAAAAAGTTTTAAAACAGAGACTCGGCAAAAACTCATTCAAATTTCAATTTCCACATTTCCCGCCAAAAACCTTAAAATCCATCCAAAATGGCGGATATAAATGCTAATTAAATACATAAATTAGGTAAATAAAATCACAATACATATATTTAAATATTGACACTTTTAAATTAATCGAAAATTGATTTTAATTTTTATTTAACTGACTTAAAAAAAAGTAAATTTTAAAATGTATTTTAAATCAAACTAGTGTCAACATACAAACATAAAAATTCAAGAAATTAAAGGTAATATTAAAAATTTTCATATTAATTATGTTCTTTTTATTTCTTGACTGTTCTCTTTTCGTCATCTGAAATAAAAAAAAATATTAGTTTTTTTTAAATTTATTTTATCATATAAATTAAGAAACTCCTTAACATTTAGGTTTTCTTTGAGAGATTTCTACAGACATCCTCCAAAATGGGTGCACCAATCACATCCAGGACGCACCGGATATGCTAAAACCGACCCTGGACATGGTGTGATACAGTGTGATATTATTTTTATATCATAATGTGGCAAACGAGCGAGCGGTCACCTGAAATCGCTGATATAGCGAAGTGACCGTTGCCCATAGACATACGCAATTGTATATGCGTTGTCTACCTTTAATCGACGGAGGAGAGGATGCACAGAAAGATAATATCTTCCCTTTCCATGCATCCTCTCATTCGGAAAGTCTACTTCCACTTCCCATCCATTCCTTATAAGAAAAAGGGTGGGAAGGAAAAAAAGAAGAGTAAATTAGGCCTCCGGAACGCACACTCATCAGACGAAACGCAGAATTGCTTCCACTTGAGGCGTGTCTTCTGTGTGGTCGTGGTATTTCACTGAGCGAGGTCAGAACGAAGATATTAAAGCGAACTCTACCACTGTTAAAGCAGTGTGACAACACTATGTGATATGACTCACCTAAACATTCTCAGCGGGGCTCTGGAACTCTGCGAGCGCCCTCACCGGGCTGGGCTGCTTCTTCTGACTGCCGCGGCGCACTTTGGCGCGCACCTCCTCCGGCCGCTCGGGACGTATCAGCGGCTTCTTCTCCGGAGCCTTCATGCGCCACACAACTATCGGGGACTGAGAACGGATGAACAGATTAGTTAAAGCGACATCTATACGTACAAATTGGAAAACGTATAATTGATTGTTTACAGCGCCATCTATCTATAGCAGTTGGAAAACTTTTAGTATTAAAATATAATGATTGGTTACAACGCCATCTATCGGCACAAATTGGTACTATGATTCAAATACAGTTATCCTACGGGATTTATCGACTAAGTTTTACATATTACTAGCTGTAGCCCGCGACTCCGTCCGAGCTACTCAATATGCTCACAAAATTTCATGAGAATCGGTCAAGCCGTTACGGACGAGTATGGGAACGAAAATTGTGACACGACAATTTTATATATAAGATGATTTATATAAACATGCAAAAAGGAAAACTATAATACATAAATCATGCGAAATTACATTTGAAAGTCAATCGAAAATAAATTTCATCGTATAAAAATGCTAAATAGGCTAATAACAGAAAATTTCCTATAAAAGCTTAAATAAACCACCAAATCAAAACTAAGTGCTAAGTGTTAAAGAAATGAAATTATCTGTAAAAATTACAGTAACTAGATAAGCGAGATTTCAAGAAACCGCGACATTTTTCACCCTTAAAAAGATTTCTCGATAACCAGAGTTTCTCGCTTATAGAGTTAACCAACCAATGACTCTCGCTTTTAGAGGTTTCTCGCATATGAAGGGCGTCCTTCGGAACTGAAAAACAACTCTCGCTTACGAAGTTTTTCTAACCCAAGCTTCATGCTCATGAAGGTCATCGTGACTTGAAGTTTCTCGCTTATCCAAGTGCTAAGTGTTCACTAAGTTAGTGCTAAGTATATATAACTTACGTAGTTGCCCTGCCAGCCCGTAGCGAAGCGTTAACCAATAGTATCATATCAGCTGTTTGCTATCTCTACTTGCTTTAACTTAGCGGTAGCTTAGATTATAACTTAGGCATAGCTTACTACTACAGTCGTCACATTGCGACCTGAGGGTCTATTACCTAGAACTTATTCGTACGAATACTCGTAAATTTTCAAATTAGCGCTAAACCTTTACTTTAAAGGATTTTGTCAATATCTTTATTTAAATTTTAAAATCTTAGAAGCTATTTAAATTTTGAATACAGTCAGACTGTACAGAATACATCTTAGTTTCTCGCTTATAGAGGTTTTTACTCTATCTAGGTTCCATTGTATATAAAAAGCCTGGTACGTCTCGGCTCTTATATGACAATTTTATAAAATATGCCGTGATATACTTGAGAGGGTCGGTGGCTCAGTGGTCAAGCACTTGACTTGCAATCTGCAGGTCCCGGGTTCGAATCCCGTCATGTACCAATGTGTTTTTCCATTTCCAATTTACATATATACATTTTTCCATCATGATGCTGAACATATCTGAGAAATTCAAAGATATATGTGAAGTCAACCCGCACTTGGCCAGCGTGGTTGACTATGACCTAATCACCCTTAACTTAGGGTAGGCTCCGAGCCCCTCGGTGGAGACGTATAGAGCTGATGATGATTGACAATACTTGAATATAAGAAAATACTCACAGCGATGGTTCCCTGTCTCGTGTACTTTGTGGAGGCGACGTATGACGCCTTCACAGTCAACACAACCGCGTTCATCAAGTTCTTAGCTGCTTGTATCAGTGATGTTGCGCTGTCCAACTGAAAATAACAAAACATATATATTCCCGTACAAATATATGTGAGAATTTGCACAAAATAAACCAAAATGTGATTATTTTAAGATAAAATTGTCATAAGTCGAAGCTGGAGAAGCAAGGCCAAAGGACAATGATATTTTTCTCGCTTATAGAGGTGTCTCTCTAACCCGAGTTTCTTTCTTTTAACGATCTTTGGGGAATATGACTCGCTATTAGAGGTCACTCCTACACGAATTTCTCACTTATGGAGGAAATTCATTAGGTAAATGTATCTCGCTTTTAGAGGTTTTTCTCTAAGCTTAGTTTCACGCTTATGGGAGTCGCCGGTTGGGAAAGTGACCCTCTCTTATAGAGGTTTCTCTCTAATCTGAGTTTCTCATTTATAGAAGTCACCTACGAGAAAATGATTCTCGCGCTTAAAGAGGTTTTCCTCTAACCAGAGTTTCTCGCTTATAGCGGCCCTAGAGGAATAAGACTCTCGCTTAGGCTACTCTTACACGAATTTCTTACTTATGGAGGACATCTTCAAGAGAATGGCTCTTTCTTGTAGAGGTTTCTTGCTTATGGAGGTTACTTTACGGGAAAATGGTTCTCGCTCATAAAGGTTTTTTCTAACCCAAACATCTCGCTTATGGAACATATTTATTGGAAAATGAATCTTGGTTTTAGAAGTTTCTAGCTTACCCTGATTCAAATGTAGTGTCATTTCTGTGGTATGTAGGTATTTTAAGACATAAATAGTTCGAATTATTTTTCGCGATTGTCGCGCTTTCATTACCAAGTCAAGTGTCAGATGTAGTGAGGGGACATAAACGTTAACATTTTAATAAGGCTAGTGTTGCGTCACACCGGCACATCGGATTTTCTTCCTAACAGTTATTTGAAGCGTCAATAGCTTAATAGTTAAAGGTAATTTCCAATCATGAGGTCGTGGGTTCGAATCCCGACATTCGACTATTCTAAACCATATCCTAGCACAAGTATAGAGCTTAATTGGAATGGTACAAGAAATATTGCGTCCCGGAGGCCTAATTTCCTCTTTCCCTTCCCATCTTTTTTCTTATAAGGAATGGATGGGATGTGGAAGTGGACTTTCCGGATGAGAGGATGCATGGAAAGGGAAATTTTCTATCTGTGCACCCTCTCCTCCGTGGATTAAAGTTAGGCAACGCATGCAATTACGTATGTCCATGGGCAACGGTCACTTCGCTATTTCAGCGATTTCAGGTGACCGCTCGCAAGTTTGCCATCTTATGATATAAAAAAAATTAGTAAATTAAGGGAAATCTGCTAATATAAAAAAAACAGTATGTATGTATGTTACTTACTCCACTGACGATCAGCTCTCCAGATATATTCTGCACGTCTGCCTTCACCTTGCTGGTGATCTGTATCTGGTGACAGTAGAGAGCTATACGCTGCAAGTACGCCAGCAGATCTTGTTTGGTCGATGATTCCGGACACTGGAATTAACATATCAAATATTGTACACCATGACACCCTGGAGAAGAATACCAATTGAATGACACCGAAATTGTTCAAATAGGTGTAGAGCAGTCTCAAAAAGGTCTCCCTCTCACTGGAGAAGTATCGAGTAGTCACAATGAAACACTGGTTATATCTTGGTGCGAGTCAACTTTATTTAAATGCGATCGGCAAGTCGATAAACATACCAAATAAATCTATATCGTGATCTAGTAATATGTTCCGCCATCTATTGATATATTAATATAAACTTAATTGACATAGCGTTCGACATAGGTATAGTAGTTTGGATTACAAGAGGTCATAAATACGCGTCAAAAATATTAACCAGACTCGTTGTTGTTTACAACTTTGACGATTTAAAAGACAATGCATTTTTTTAATATATTTTATTTAATTTTAATTTTCTTAAAAATCTTTGTTAGTTGTATTGTTTTTTTTTATTTCATATTGATAAAGGGTTATTGACGATAACATAATAGCTTTTTTTTGATATAGCAATAATTGTAGGTCATTGGTTACATTGGTCTGGAGATCCCGGGACCCTCGCAGGCGCACTTGAGGTTGGCCACCGAGGGAGTTTTAGTGAGTAAGAATCTCACATACGTCACATACGTCTTTCCCCCAAAAGGCAGGGTATCTTACGAAGATTTCCCCCCAATACCAAAAAAAAAAAGGTCATTGGTTACAAAATTGCCCCAAAAGGTGTAACATTTTTAAGTTTTTAAAAAATGCCCTGTATTTTTTTAATACCCAGAGGGGAATTTTTATTTAATTTTTCTGGTGACCCTTGTGATCACCCCTATCATCCCCCTTTCTATATACGTAACATTTTGGGACATCCTGTATAATAACCAGGAGCTGTGCTATTTTAATGAATAAAACCCTATAAATGCAAACAAACAAATAAATTTACTGTGACTAATATAAATGCGAAAGTTTAAATGTTTGTTAGAAGATATCTCCAGAACGACGCAACGGATCTGACTGAAATTTGTCATAGATGTAGAACATAATCTGGAAGAACGCAGACGGAGTAGCGGGCGACAGCTAGTATACAGTTAAGAAAACATATCTACCTGTTCAGCAATCTCTCTAGTCAGTTTATCCAATTTTGTGCCGGCCTCTGATATCTTCTTAGCTGCGTTGATGACGTCCATCGTGGTCTTGAGTGGACCACGACCTCTGGGACAGGACCATATTAAATTATTTAAACTAAATCGAAGTTTTGTAGTCTAAAAGAAACTATACCGGACTACAAAATAAAAAAAAACAGGTGATTATGAAAACAGTATCCCGTCCTATCAAACCTACTGATCTGAAAATATCTTTTACAGTCTACTGACTAAAAAGACCATAGTCTTTTCAAGTCTAATGACCTGAAAATACCGAAAATACCTAAATCTTTTACGGTCTACTGACTGAAAACCGAAAAGACCATGTTCTTTTGGTCTACTCACCTCGTAAAGTCCGTCATTTCGAGCATAATCATGCACATATGTTTAGCCAACATGATGATGTCGTTGCCAGCATCATCCCACTTGGCGACCTCGTTGTCGAAAGTCATCTTCTCGCGCCTGAACAGTTCCACTTGCTGCAGGATCTTGCGCTTGTCTTCTTCTGTCATTTTACGCATCGCTTCCTGATCATTAAGATAAATCAGTGATGATGTTTTAAATGTAGTAGACGCCAGACATCTGATGGACTGGTGTGGAGAGATGGAGAGCAGGAGTGTAGCAATATATGGAGGAGGAGGAGCAGTGGAAGAATCCAGGCAGACAATGATGATGATGAGAAACTAGCAATAGGGGCCGATGCGAAACCACACAGAAGACAGGCGTCAAGTACAAAATTATTCCGCATACAATCTGATGAGTTTAGTGCCAGAGACACATTTTGGTCACATTTCCATCATTTTCGAAGAAGGAAAGAGCGTCGGTGGCTCAGGGGTCAAGCACGTAACTTGCAATCTGCAGGTCCTGAGTTCGAATCCCGACGTACCAATGTGTTTTTCGATTTCCGATTTATACATACGTACATTAGTCCGACGTTCTTACGGTGAAGTAAAACATCGTAATGCTGCACATATCTGAGAAGAAATTCAAAGATATGTGTGAAGTCAACCCGCACTTGGCCAGCGTGGTTGACTATGGCCTAATCACCCTTAACTTAGGGTAGGCTCCGAGCCCCTCAGTGGGGACGTATAGTGAGCTGATGATGATGGGGGAAGTCGTTCTAGCGGGGGAAGGGACGCATAATTAGTAGGATATCTTTTTGAGGGGCCATACCTGTGAATTAAGGTAGGAAACACATTTGTGTATGGGCAGCGATCACTTATCTATTTTGACAAATATAAAGGAGAGACAATGGGGTAGCCTCATGAGATAGGAAATTAAGAAACGAGTATTTTTAATGTTCATTATAGGATCCACCATTATAGGATCACTTTGTTGTCCGTCTGTCTGATAAGAGTACATTTTTAATCAGAAGGTTAAGTTAAAGACGTCGACTTTTTTAATCAGCAGTCACGAGTAATAGATAACTTACCCTAGCATTAGTAATTCCACTAATATCAGGATATTCATCGACTCCGTGCTCCCCAGTATGGGCGCTCGCTGGAATACACAACACATTCAAATTGAACCAAAAATTTAACCATATAAAAAATATAACATATAGATAAAGAAATTATTGAAATTTTTAATCTTACTAATATTATAAATGTGAATGTTTGTCTGTTTGTTTGAAGATATCTCCAAAACAGCTGTATGGATCTCGCTGAAATTTGTCATACATATAGAACATACTCTGGAAGAACACATAGACTACTCATGTTTTTAATTCCGCGCATAGAGTAGCGTGCGACAGCTAGTCAAATAATAAAATAGTCTTAAAAATAAACTTACCTGCATACGATACATATAAAACATGCAAATTACAAACATACTATTGAAAAGAAAAACATATAAAGCCACGAAACGAAGAGTTACATCTGTAAGTCCTTAGTACACAAGGCAACGTAAATCTTCGAAACTAACATCGCCAACTAAAGTCTGCGATCAGTACAAACATGGAGACTACATGTCCATATTGCTGCGCTATTTTGAAGTCGCGGCGACTTTTACGCGGCAAGACAAACAGGGTTACATTACTATGATATTGTATTTCGTAAGCTTAGAGACTAAAATCGCCGAGTTTCGAAGTTACGTTGCCTTCTGTACGAAGGGCTTTAACCGTGGGTTTCTGAATTCAAAATCTCAGTTTAAAACATTCACCTTTATGTAATCAAAGGTTATATCAGGGTTAATTTGGTCCCAGAAATCCACGGCGAAAATAAATTTTCGTCGATTTAATGATTTGATGGTATAATGGTAGTCAAACTTTACAACGGCACGGAATATCACACGACACGCACAAGACATTTTTATTTATAGGTTAGTTGAACCCACAAGCCGTCAAAGTTAGCATCTTAAAACAACCGGCATAATATTGTGGTCTTTATTTCTATCAATGAAACTATCAGCAGTGTTGTGTATTTATATAAAGACGGCTAAAACACTCAAGTATGTTTGTCCTGAGTCGGCACCGACTAGTTTCAATCTAATCAGGTCCACTAAGCAGTAAGCTACGGGCCGCGTTCACAAAATAAACCCATACACTGTGATAAAGGGCCTGATAGGCTTGAAATTAGTCGGTGCCGTCACCAGAACATGCGAAGTTTATGATGTATCAGAAAATTTTTAATTTAGTGTTGTGTGTAAACCTAAATACTTACATCTACTCCTCGTCTCCATGGTCATGTCTTCAACTGGTTCAAATTCGGTGTCAGTGTCAAGATCATCGCTTGTCTACATGCGAAAAACATTTAACATGCGATGGCTGATCTAATGCTATGGTATTGTTCACGAGGTTACAACGAAATGACTCAAACACAATACATCTATAGAATATACCTTTCTTTATCTCACTCAATCACCTTTCATATAATCCGTCTCTTTCTAAGCCTACAAATACAGAAGGACTTCATGTGTAACTCAATTTGTGACCTACAGATCAATTCACGGCTCACTCGTGTCTTTGTTTAGCTCAATTTGTACCTACATCTTACTAATATTATAAATTCCAAAGTTGGACGTTTGAAGATATCTCCGGAAAGGCTCAACGGTTCTTGATGAAATTATGCATAGATGTAAAACATAGTATGGAAGATCACATAGGGTACTTATTAAGTTTTATTTTATTTCCGCGCGGACGGAATCGCAGGCGTCAGCTAGTAAAGGTATAATTTGGATTTCGAGTGTCGGCTCTTGAACTCACATAGTTAAAGTAAATCGCGATGTGTTGTGAGCTGTTAGTTGTTGAGCAGATCAACGGATCAAGTCAACCTGAACTTTTGAACTGATTCAGAGCCGATTTACTAAGGTTTTACCTTCAGTTCAGTTTCCCTCTAATGTACTCGTCTCTCTCTCATCCGTCCCTTTAATTAACATTCTGATTCATACATATACATATGTCTATAGAAAGTATTGTGTTTCTATCCAATGAATTATAACTACATCGTGTTACCAAGTTCACATTACCGTTAAAAAATGAATTTTCCCAAATTAATAATGGGACACCATCTATATGATATTACTAAAACTGGATCACAATTATTATATAAGGCTTAGCGTAGTAAGGTTATAAATTTCAGTACATCGAAGGACCAAAACTATAAATTTAAAATGTTCTATAACAAATCATGATCCAGTTTTAATGCCAAAACATGCCAGACATAGACGGAAAAAACATAAGTTAAGAATTACAACAAAACAATGAATTAGAATATGTCCAGTCCAAAGACTAACAGAGTTATTTAAGGGTTACTTATTTATCTCCCTTAGCTATTAGACTGACAGATCCTAAGAGTAAGTAACGACATCTATATGCTTAACACCACAAGACAAAGGGACAATGTGTCCTCTCACATTTGCTCCTCGTCTCCAACGTGTAGTGCTCATCCAGCTCCACATCCTCTGGATCTAGGTCCTCATCATCCTGAACATTGCATAGGAACCTTAGCCATAGCATAGGAACCCTCAAGTCTTAAATTCACTTCTAGATTTTCTAATACCTACTGGTGCTTGTAATTTCTTGCCGATTATTAATGACAAAGTCTAAGAATTTAATATCAGCATGTGGGTAGTACATTTTCTTTGAAAAGTGATTGAAAATTTGTCATAATGTAGGTACTAAAATGATTTTATAACCCTAGAATTTCACTGCACTGTCGTCTTGTTATCATCCCTTACATTATCTTTTTCGAAAAAGTGACAGCAATATACAGGGTGTCCGGGAATGACGTGTACAACGCAATACCATAGATTCCTTGAGAGACCAAGAAATCTATGGTACTCCGTTGAACACGTCATTCCCGGACATCCTGTATATCAAAGTGTGAAGCAAATTTAATTCTTCTACCCCTACTCACCCGGTTCATCAACACCGCACGTCTGATCTCTCTGACCCCATCGTAGACCAAACGGGAAGCATCTATGAAGTCGTTCTCATCCAGACCTGCGCCTGCGCCGCTGCCCAGAGCAGACACAGCTGCGTCCACGCGCACTGCGAACTTTGACATCACTGTAAATAAATAAAAAAAATAAGTACCAAAAAAACACTCCAGAATCAGTCTAATACAGGTCCAAATGTCCAAAATATTGCCTTGAACCCACTGTACATAGGGTAGGCGAAACATGTTCCGTCCATCGATCACTTCGCAAGTAATTACTAATTCTAAATTGAAAAAGAAAACATAATCAACCCAACTATGACTTAATTTGCCCTTAATGTAAAAAAGACAACCGCTTCCAAAATTGGTTTAACCTTTAACACCTTAGTCCTAAAACCACTATTTTAGGATCTTACTAATCATCATCAGCTCACTATACGTGCCTACTGAGGGGCTCGTTGCCTAACCTAAGTTAAGAGACATTAGGCCATAGTCAACCACGCTGGCCAAGTGCGGGTTGGTTGACTTCACACATATCTTTGAATTTCTTCTCAGATATGTGCAGCATCACGATGTTCCTTCACCGTAAGAACGTCAGATAAATGTACATATGTAAATCGGAAATAAAAAAAGACATTGGTACATGGCGGGATTCGAACTCAGGACCTGCAGATTGCAAGTCAAGTGCTTGACCACCGTCACCGACGCTCCTAATCTCTTACTAATATGTATTATAAATGCGAATATTTAGATGAATGTTTGTTAAAAGGTATCTACAGAACAGCTGCATCTTGCTGAAAATTGTCATACATATAGAACATAGTCTGGAAGAACACATAGACTACAAAGTTTTTCATTACACAGACGTAGTCACGTGCAACAGCAAGGTCCTTGACCAGGTCAAGGTAATAAAAATAAAAGAATATAAATAATATTAACATATAAATATGGATTATTAAAATGTCATTACGAAACGTATAAGAATAAAATTCATCGTATGTTACAACATTTTAGGCCCACATTGACCTTAAAATGTCCTTGACATACTCGGAGATGCAAGCATTATGTTCTTTCGATAATGTTCGATGACATCATCGTAAAAAGTAACACTAAAATACATCGGTTAAAACAACATGGTCGTTATAAACGATTTTCACGATATTCTATTAGTAACTAGCTGTCGACCGCGACTCAGTCCGCGCGGAATTAAAAAAAACTTAATCAGTACCCTATGTTTTCTTCCAGGCTATGTTCTAAATGTATGTCAAATTTCATCAAAATCCGTTGAGCCGCTCTGGACATATCTGTAAACATTCATCCATCCATTCATCTTAACTTACGCATTAAATTATAAGTAAGATACATTGAGAAAATATTAATGTTTAGTAGTAAACGGTATATTTAGGCTTCCAACATAATGTAAGTTTTACTGTATTTAAGCGTCCATTCTCCCTCCCCGGACGATCCGGACGCACGGCCCGCAATTTTAATTTGCTTTGTATGAATCATAGCGCTGCATCATCCACACCGGCCGCATCGAAAGACAAAGAAATACCCGTTTAATCCGGTGCGTCTTGCGCGGGCAAATGTACTCATACCTTTAATAAAAACAATGGTACATAACTGTGACATTGACCTTTAGCAATTAAATATATTCCTTCTACGTGAACTATATGACATTTATATAATATTCTTTGTATGAAACACAGGAAATTATTATACATCAGAAGCTCACTATACATCTTCAAATGATTGTCTCGGAGCCTACTCTAAGTGAGACTATGTGATAGTGAATGCTGGTTCAGTGCAAAACTTCACACATATCTTTGACTTTCTCAGATATGTGCAGCATCACGATGTTTTCCTTCACCGTACGATACACAACACAACATACGATAAATGTGCATATGTAAATGTAACACATTGCTACATTGCATTCGAACTCAGGACCTGCAAATTACAAGTCAATTGCTTAACCCCTGAGGAAGAGGAGCTGCAGCCTGCACATATATAATTGAGAAGAAACGCTGAGGATTGTAGGCCGTCTTTCAAAGCCTTACTTAGGGCGAGGTGTATTCTTAATAGGTCGTGGGTTCCAACTCAGCAAATCCTAACGGAGATGCGAATACGAATAACAACTCAGACTTCAAAATGACCTACACTCGCTTTTGCGCTGACATGCTTGCAGTTAACGACGAGCTAACATAAAGTTTGAATATTATTATACCTTAACAAGTATAAGATGATTCATCACAAAGTAATTCTTTACATGTCGACCTTATAGACTTTCATATTTTATTATTAATATAAACACAATCATTAACTATAATATTGTTTACACGTAACGATACGATCACGTGACGACTTACGGGAATACAATTAAGTTAATTAGTTAGTCTTACTAATATAAATGCGAATTGGATGGATTAATGTTTGTTTAAAGATATCTCTAGAACGGCTGAATCTTGATGAAATTTGACATACATATAAAACATAGTCTGGAATACTATTTAGACTAGTAATTACTTTTTTAAAAGTCCGCGCGGACGGAGTCGGAAGCGACCGAAAAAATACGAATGGATGTATGGATGTTTGCTTGAAGGTATCTCCCTAACCATTAAACGGATTTTGACGAAATTTGGCATAGATGTAGGACATACTCTAGCAGTCACGCACGAGAGCGAAAGCGTGCCCTTGGTCCCGTCCCGATACGTTGGAGGAACAAAGAGGTTAATGGGTATGCCTCCGCTATGGAGGAGAATCCCACATAACTACCGCGTCCCCCCCCCGGGGGAGCGGAGTATGCATAAAGCATTCCTCTCTGGAAAAAAGGACATAGTCTAGCAGAACGTATCGGCTACTTTTTAATTCTACGCGAACGGAGTTGAGGGCGACAGCTAGTATTATAATATATTTTGAAAGTCGTCATATATAAATGTATTTTACAATGGTCATATTTCAAAATGTCAATGTTTTTAAATGTAATTAGGGCCTCAGTGCACTCGCTCTGAGTGATGCCACAATAATGTCGTAAGTATTGCATTATTTGTTCTCTCTCTCGTAATATTTTACTAAGCAATCATCTCGTGTCTTTAATCCTCCTAGTTCCTTCATCTATCTTTCAGTCTCCTTTTACGTGGATAAGACTTAACCCCTTCACACTTACTTGATAATCTTACTAATATTACAAATACGAATTTTTCTTAGAAGGTACACCAGTTTATAAACAGTGGTAGAGCCCGCTTTAACATGTTCGCACGAATTGTCCCGGATCGCTCGGTGAAATACCACGACTACACAGAAGACAGGCGTCAAGTGCGAAGCAATTCCGCGTTTCGTCTGATGAGTGTGCGTCCCTAATTTAGTCCTCTTTCCCTTCCCACCCATTTTCTTATAAGGAAAGGATGGGAAGTGGAAGAGGACTTTCCGGATGAGAGGATGCATGGAAAGGGAATATATTTTCTTTCCGTGCATCCTCTCCGCTGTCGATTAAAGGTAGGCAACGCATATGCAATTCCGTATGTCTATGGGCAGCGGTCACTTCGCTATTTTAACGATTTCAGGTGGCCGCTCGCTCGTTTACCACCTTATGATATAAAAAAAAAGTTTTTGCTTCTCGTTAGTCTCGTAGTTTTATTATATTATCTTGGTCTTGAAATGTTCGTGGAGGTCTATGGAAGGTTTAAGAGGTGAGAAAAGTTCGAATAATTTTCGAGAAAACCGCGGAATCGCGGGTGTCAGCTAGTACGAGGTACTTTCGCCTTTTTTATAAATTCTGAGTTAATTTCATATAAATCTATGCAAAAGAATATGACAATTCAAATAAGGTCATTAACACTAAGGACAGGTGACATAAAAGGTTACATTTGGGTGGTACAAAACCGGTATTTTAAATATTACGCCTACGACATTTTGAAAAGGTCAAAATGCATGTGCAACATCTCTACTCACTTTAATCAATAGTAAAAGTATATACATCTCGTTTAAATCTTACTAATATTATAAATGCGAATGTTTAGATGGATGTTTGTTAGAAGGTATCTCCAGAACGGCTGAACGGATCTCGCTGAAATTTGACACAGATGTATCACATAGTCTGGAAGAACAGCATCATCAGCTGACTCTACGTCCCCACTGAGGGGCTCGGAGCCTACCCTAAGTTAGGGGTGACTAGGCCATAGTCAACCACGCTGGCCCATTGCGGTTTGACTTCACACATATCTTTGAATTTCTTCTCAGCTATGTGCATCATCACCATGTTTTCCATCACCGTAAGAACGTCGGATAAATGTACATATGTTAATCGGAATTCGAAAAACACATTGGTACATGGCGGGATTCGAACCCAGGACCTGCAGATTACAAGTCAAGTGCTTGACTGCTGAGTCACCGTCGATCTCATGAAGAACATATAGACTACTAATTAAGCTATCTTATTCCGCGAGTCGCGGTCGACAACAAGTGGTATACAAAAATGATTCTCAATTGAATACGAACATCAACCATATAAACCTTGACATTTGACCCTCTCACAAAACAAAAACTAACCTGCGATCGAAGGTTGACGATATCATAGTGAATACAAATGGTTCACCTTTGTTAACCAACTACACGCCCCGTCTTCGCACGGGAAGATTACATTATTTATTCTATGACATTCTCATTATTTGAAATAGTTATTACAAACTTTAAAGAATCATTAGTAAGATGTGAATAATGTGGAAAGCGACCGCTGCCCATAGACATCGCAATTTTATATATATATATATATATAAATATTTATAACTCATAACGGCTTTACCGATATTTTTTTTTATAACAGAAGGGGGCAAACGAGCAGCGGGAACACCGAAGTGTTCAACGACGCCCATGGACATCAGCAATACCAGAGGAACCGCAGATGCGTTGCCAGCCTTTGAGGTGGTGATAGGCTCGCTTCTTGAAGGACCCTAAATATGACAGAATATTGGTGAGGAGGTAGCTTAGAGCCAGGAGACGGACATAGGATACTATTTATTCATTTCTTTCGAATTGATGCCTTGAAGAGCTGCTTTTTATTTAACTTACTAATATTATAAATGGGAATGGTTAGATGGGTGTATTGTGGATGGATGGATGGGTGTTTGAAGATATCTCTAGAACGGCTGAACGGATCTCGATTAAATTTGGCATACGTATAGAACAGTCTGAAAGTCGCGGGCGACAGCTAGTTGAATATATAAGCATTTTTTTATAAATTTAATAATATTTCTTCTACCATTCCAACTAAGCTATAGAGCTTCCTAGCACAGGTATAGACCTGTGCTAGGACATGGTTAACAAAAGTCGAATTGCGGGATACGAACCCACGAACTCGTGATCGGAAATCCGTACCCTTAACCATTAGGCTATTGGCGCAATTATAGATGCGTTACCTTTAATCGACGGAGAGAATGCACAGAAAGGGTACCCCATTTCTAAAAGTTACCTTTTCCATCAAATTCCCAACGAGGAAAAGGAAAAAGGACCAAAATGAATCCTCCAGCACAGACACTCATCAGACTGTACACAGAATTGCTTTAACTTGAGTTGTGTCTGTGTAGTCGTGGTATTGCATCGCGGCGAGGCCTGTTCGTACATTTGTGGGCGTGGACCAATGTACCATTGAGATGGTACCTTTTTTTTTCTTTTTCAGAGGGGAATGCTTTATGCATACTCCGCGCCCCGGGGGGGACGCGGTAGTTATGCGGGATTCTCCTCCACAGCGGAGGCATACCCTTTTTTTTT